GGGGCTGAATAATTTTGCACGCCCAATTTTTCAGTTTTTTTATTTGTTAAAAAAGTTTGAAATATCCAATAAATTTCGTTCCACTTCATGATTGTGTCCCACTTGTTGTTGATTCTTCACAAAAAATTACAGTTTTATATCTTTATGTTTGAAGCCTGAAATGTGGCAAAAGGTCGCAAAGTTCAAGGGGGCTGAATACTTTCGCAAGGCACTGTATGTGTCACTTCAATCAATTTCACAGATGTGGCAAATGTAGACGGTTGCACCTGGGGTGCAGGGTTTGTGGGCCCCAACTGACAAAGTACTTCCTTGACCCACACTTCTTCTGGCCTTTGGGTTTGCGAAGTGTTCATGCACACAGTGCAGAGAATCTCATCATCAGAAGTGTCAGAATCTCTTGGTGACTGAGCCTCAGGGGATAAAGGTATGGCCATATGAAAATACACTGTTACAACCATCGCAGCCCAAACAGCCATTACACAGCTAACAGTTTTAGCATGTGGGTTTGAAGTTAGCATGAATGTCAAGCATCAACTGCTGCTTTCAGTTATACAAGTCAAGCCATAGTATCTACAGTACAATGAAAACTAATCAAAAATGATCTTGCTAGAAAATATTACTTTTTTTAAAATCTGAAAATCACTTTTTTGTTCATAAAATCCACAGTGTTGCTCAAAGAGACATATTACTTCTTCTGTCAGCTTAGAAAATGATAATTTTTGATAGTGATATCAACACAGCAGCCCTTTTCTGACTGGGCAAACTGGCAATGTTAAAACTTACCCAGTATTACATTCCTGGTCTCCCCTGTTGTGGTCAGACAAATTAATATTTTGGATCAATTTTGGAAGGAACGGAAGCCGTGCTCCAGACCAAAGACAAAACGGACCATCCAGACTGTTACAAGCCAGGGTCTGTCAAGGTCTGGGGTTGTGTCAATCCCCTTGGCAAAGGTAACTTACACTTCTGTGATGGCACCATTAATGCTGAAAAATACATGGAGTTTTTGAAGCAACATATGTTGCCTTCAAGACATCTTTTCCAGGGACGCCCATGTATATTTAATCAAGACAATGCAAAACCTCATACTGCACATTACCAAGGCCTGGCTGCGGAGGAAAAGGGTGCAAGTGCTGGACTGGCCTGCCCACAGCCCCGATCTGTCCTAAACAGAGAATATGTGGCACATTTTGAAAAGCAAATTGCGCCACCGAAGATCCAGGACTGTTGCACACCTTAAGAATTGTTTGCATGAAGAAGGGGACAAAATTACACCTGACACACTTTATCACTTGGTGTCCTCAGTCCCTAAATGTCTTTTAAGTGTTGTGTAAAAGGAATGGCAACATCACACCGTGTCAAATATTTTACTGTCCCAGCTTTTTTCGGAATGTGTTGCAAGCATCAGAATTAAAGTGAGTTTTTATTTTGAACAAAGAATAAAATTGATGATGTTGTTTTAAATGTAATACAGGGCACAGGTGATTTACAAATGACATGTTCAGTTTTGATTTTACATACCGTCCCAACTTTTTTCCTATTTGGGGTTGTACAAGCTAATCATGTAAAACATATTTTATTTCAGTTCCTGTAAATACAAACAGGAAACTGACCTCAGTGACTTATGTTAATATATGATACAAATAGCCATGTAGGTAGCCAGGAGGTCATGCCAGCTACACAAGAGGTAATGTACCCACTTCTAAGTGATATAAAATAGTTAACCAGTTCTATTTTTAATTTTGCCGTCTTAAACATTTGCACAAACATCACTCTTTGTAATCAGGCTTATTTCAAAACATTTGGTGAAACCCATTTGTTTCTACAATAACTTTAACTGAATGAAATGAAAATGCAATTAACAACTGTTATAAAGTTATAACATTTGTAAGAACAAGGCTGAATAACCCAACACTGAAGTCCGTTTATCTCCAGAGTCGTCCTCATATGTTATGTATCAAAGTAGATGACATGTTGGTTTTTTTGTATCTTTTCCTGCAGTGATCTTTGGGATGAAGAAATGGTGCAATAAGTCAAAGACAAAACCAAAAGCCATAGGTCTCTCCCACAGACATCACCACTGGGGCCTCACAAGTTGGAGTCTCTGTCCGAGACAGGAAAGTAGCCATTTATAGTCATGGTGGCATCTCCCTCAGGAGTAAAGATGGCCAGTAACCTCTCCTGCTCCCTCTTGGTTTTGGGTAATTCATCAGATGGTGTGATGAGCAGCTGAAGGCGCTGAAAAAAAAAAGGATTCTTGACCAGCTTTACTGAACAAAGTCCACAATATAAGTCAAGACTAGACCAAGACCATGATAAAGCTCCTTTAATTCCAGACTCCGAGTTCATTTTTTGCTACCTATTTCAATAAATCCGTATATTTATTTCTTTAAAGAGTATGTTTAGGTGTGGCATGTTCCTTGTAAAATGAAATATATATTAAACAGGAGAACACAAGTTTCTGAATGACTTCAAGACATTAAAAGCAATTTCATAATAGAGTGAGAAAAGAGAATTACCTCTTGGAGTGTACCATGGGTGGTGCAGATCTTATATGCCATCCAAAGAGGAATACAGACCATGGAGGAGAGAGCAAGCAACCAGCCAATCACATAGCCCCACCACGGGTACACATATGTATTGTTATACTTAAGAGGAGTGTATTTAATGAGGGAGAAGGCAAAAGTACCCTGAAGAGACAAGTTGACAAATATCACTATTGGTGAAGAAGGAACAGCTGCTATCTTTTAACTTCTAAAAGAGGAGAAGGCCTCAGTTGTGGTGGGCCTTTGTCATTTTTGGAAAGCCATGATACTATTTAATTAGTCTGCTGATACTCACAATGCAAGTGGCTGGGGTGAAGAACAACCAACAGTACTTGATGTAAGGTCCTGGGCGGTAGCCAATCATGTCCTCAATGTTGTCATAGAAGCGATCAGCACCTGGAAAAACAAAGTAAAACATTTTTTACTATGCTGTGTCTTAAAACTTGTGGCTGAATATCTCAAGTTAATACCCAAGTTAATCTAAAATATCAGCCAGGACCACTGGAAAACACACATGAAATGTACAGTATTTCTTCATTATTACAAATGGGAAGAGTTCTTTATATTTAAGGAAGCTTACCATAGACCCATGCAATGCAGACAGTCTCAAAGATGGACATGAAGAGAAGACACATACCACTGGCTGCATAGTAATCAAAGAGTTGGAAGACATACATGCCCCCCTAGAGATAGATAGATAGATAAATAATTAAACTAAATTAAATTTATTTTCCAACTAAAGGCACTGACTAAATTCTGTCAAGATTTTATTAGAAATCATGGTGTTCATTTCAGGCTTCTCATATAAAAACTCATCAGTGTTGTTTGTTCTAATGTTTTGTGCACAGGTAACTCAGCAGTGCAAGTGATCTATGGATATACGTAGCTCACAGTCTGAGCTGTCTATAGTGATGTACCGTTACCCCAAACCCAGGTGCACTATCCAGGGGAACTGCTAACATGGGGTGTGGAGTACAGGCAGAATGCATGCCATTTCATGTTGAAGATGAAAGGTACCAAACTCCATTGTGGTGCTTTGCCACAATACAGCCACAGCCTACATTAGCTTACCTGTACTGACTGTTACTTTTTTGGGTTTTTTTCCACCAATAGACTCTACATTGCACGTTAAACATAGCATTATTTAGCATAATTTGTGGCATCTATTTCAGTATTAAACATACAAATTTGACATGGTTATTATACATAGCTTGTAAAAGAGACTTGAAAAACTCAAAATACTGAGACTTCAGACATGACTGAAGACTAGATGTGCTGTATCACAGCACTTGAGACTTACCTGAGACACGTTGCACAAAACCTTTGACTTGCTTGTACTTAAAAAAATGATGACTTGTTGATATCTCTGCAGAGCATTCATGTTTCCAGCTGTGGTGAAACCATGCCAACTATTTTGGAATGTAGGAGTTTCCTTCAGCAGAACAATGTAACCAACCACCAGCATGATCTGTAGTCTATGCATGTAAAACTAATTTCATTAGTTTGAGCTTCAGTAGACATAGTTAGTCACATAATTATCAAAAAAACTTTTGAAGGCATTTTCATCATCTTGCTAGGAAAACTATGATGAGGGAAACACCTTGGACATTCAAATTTCAAAGACTGTACAAAATGTTTTTTTTTCTTTAAAAATACTGCAGTGAAATTTTATGCTTGCAGACCATTGTCTGTGTGCATTTATCTGTGTGTGTGTGTGTGTGTCCCAGAGTGTGACCCCTACCTCCATCAGCATGATGAGACCCATGAGGAAGGAGAAGAGGACGACAGCTAGCAGGAAGAGCTCTCTGCGGTTTTTACGGCGGAACACAGTGGGGTACATATCGACTATCGCCGTCATAAGGCTCTCAACACACACAAACTGATCGGAGAAGAGCCGAGAAAGAAGGAAACAAAGGGGAGAGAGGTGTGTGTGTATATACAGTATATGTCAGATTTTTCTAAAGACATGAGAGAGGGGTTGCACTGAATTTGTTCATTAATCAGTGTCAGTGTGTATTAACTTAGGGCAGTGAGGGACTTTCTACCTGACTGTCCAACCCCAGAAAAACAATCATGATAAAGAAGAGGGATGCCCACAAAGGAGAGAAGGGCATCATGGTGACAGCACGAGGATAAGCTATGAAGGCCAGGCCAGGACCTGCACAGAGGCAAGGAAGAAAATCTAAACTAAGCACTGAGAAATGAATGTGACAAATACTTGCCTGAGGATAAATACCAAATTACTGTTGCTATTCTGTTGCCACAGAGGTTGGTTTATGCAGGCTTTACCTGATTCTGCCACTTCTGAGATGGGCACATTCTGTTCATAAGACATGAAACCCAGGATGGAAAAGATTGCAAAGCCTGCTACGAAACTGGTGCCACTATTCAGACAGCACAGCGCAAGGCAATCTCTGCAAAAGAAAACAGGTCTTTTTATTACAGTGAACAAAATGTAATGTAAGCAATAGAAAATGTAATTGGAAATGTCTTTTTCACGAATAGTTCAGCTTTACTGTATATTCACACAGATAATCACAGTAATTACAGGTGAAGATGATGTTTTAGTGCATTTCTGACTTGTCTTTAGTTTGTAAAATTATTATTTTTTAACATAATCTTTAAAACAAATTCCCGTGGATTTTAAAATTGAAGATAGGATACTGCTTGCATACTTGTAGCAGTTATTGTTGTATTTGTTATAGCTCCCAAGAGCTGTCAGCGACCCTAAACATATGGCATAGGAGAAGAAGATCTGGGTGCCAGCATCCATCCACACCTAATACAAAAGAAATACGTGAAAGACAAGAAGCAACTGAAGTTAAAGTGATGCTAAATTACATGCATTTAAATTCAGTATTCAGCGAGAGTACACACACTTAGATTTAGGCACTATATACACAAAAGGCACTGTTTATCTAATCTATAGGAATTCACATGTTCAATTTCTGTATGCAGGTGCTGTTAGAGAATGACTGTGACCACTGTGATAAGGCAAACGGAGACATTACTAAACCAGATAGAGATAATAACAGAACTTATCAACAATGAAAAAAAAGGTTTTGAGCAAAGCCAGTTAAAACTCTCTTGCCCTTCCATAACAGAGAAGCCTGGTTAATAGAGTTTCTGGTAGAGCTTGTGTTTACAGTCTCAGTGGTATCCTGGCCCCGGATTTGATTTCTGCGGTCTCGGCTTCTTTCATGGAGAGCAGATGGACCCAGCAGAAACTAGGATTCCCAACAGATAACCATGGGATACCTGCACCTGGTGCGCCCTCGCCCACGGAGAGAGAGCAGAACACCAAAAGTGTCTACATTGAGATCTTGTGATTTTGCGTGAAAGATGTTTGAGTTGCTTGAGAGGTAATCACACCATTATGATAGATGTTTATAGCAAACAAAGAAACTGATTGTTTGTGAGATATGATGGTACCTGTGGGTCTGCAAGTCGGCCCAGGTCAGGGTAAAGGTAGAACTGGATCCCTATCGCAGCACCAGGCAGGGTGAGCCCTCTGATCAACAGCACAGTGAGCATCAGATAGGGGAAGGTTGCAGTGAAGTAGACCACCTATATAGACACATAGAGGGATCTTCAATATGCAAATAAGACCTATGCTGAAAATAACAAATGGAGACCAGATTTTATGTGTATTTTGCCCTAGAACTGTTTTTTAAAAAAAAGCTTTTACTTGTGCTCTCACTGAGGTGCAGATTAGGACACAACTCTGAATCACCTCTGACTCACCTTTCCAGTGGATTTCACTCCCTTCCAGATGCAGAAGTAGCACATGACCCAGGCAATGAACAGACACAGGGCCAGGTCCAAGTTCAGAGAGCCCATGTGGTCAATGCCTGGTGAAATTCTCAGTGCTCTTCTCCTGCAAAGACAGGAAAGAAACATGTTATCGCCACTCTCATTGTCATTATATATGAGTAATTCATCTTTAGGATGAAGATAGGGAATCTGAAAACTCACTCCCAGAATTCCATGACAGGAGAAGTGGCATTTAGGTTGCTTGTTGTGTTGCTTGAGGTGTTTCTCCTCTGAAACTCCACACAGTTTTCTGCAGGAAAAGAACAAAATGGAGTAATTCTTAAATGCATTAAAGACGGTACGAACCTCGATTGTATTTTGATACACGTTACCTGTGTTCCAGGTGTTATTGCAGGATGACCAGGCCAGGTCCTGAGAGAAGGAGAAAGCCAGATAGAAAATCCCCCAGGCCAGAACAATGATGTAGTAGAAGTTCAACAAAGTCACTATCACCTGGGTACCATAGCCAAGCCCTGCAGAAATGTTTAGCACATAGACCATGCTTCAAATAATAATCATCACAAATGTTGACTAATTTAGTTTTTAGCATCAAAGGAGTTTTTGTAGTTATTTTTGAGTATCTTTGCAGTATTTTTTTATGGTCATTTTATTGAATTAATGTTAAGAGATACTTCAAAAATGAAGCTCAACACACTCAGGAACCTCTGACCCTTTGGGTGGGCTTGTGCCTATTTAGCAATACACCCCTGGCTTAAGGTTAGACACCTGTCCAGTTTACCTTCAAACAAGGGACTGATTTTTCTCCAGCAGGTAATGCCTCCCTCACTGGTGTACTGCCCCAGGGCTGTCTCCAGGAAAAAGACAGGAACACCACAGGTGAACAGGAAGATCAGGTAGGGGATGAGGAATGCACCTAAGTTGGGAAAGGATTCAGGGTTAGAGCTGTCCAAGCATGAGTAGTAAGAGGTGACAAGCAGACAGGCAAGTATTCATACTAACAGTCCCTAATCCACCTGACTGGTGCGTCCTTGACTCTGGGGAAAATCCAAGCATTTAGGCAAAACCAACGTGGACATAGGTTCAGAGCTATTATCTTAAACCCATCACAAGTGAATGCTTAGAGAAAGTAAATAGTTTTAACATGGTGTGACCCCTCTCTCTCTTTATTTCATATGCTGCCATTGTTTGCACCAGATTGCTTCTTGGGTATGACTTTTAATATAAATCTTAATAAAAGGAAGAAATAAAGAAAAGCTATGGAAAGTCCATTAGTCATTCAGCTTTTTGTGTTGTCATTCTGTCAGGTGACTGAGGATGTTTGGTGTCCTCAGATTTCCGCCTCTCAGCAGGGATAGCTGCTGTGAGCGAGGAGCAACAACAGCTGTCTGACCTCACTCAGGCCTGAACCCTGACCCTGCTACCCCATGGCGGGAGGGAGAGAGAGGGGCATCCAATTTAGCAGCTACACAAGCATGTCCAAATGGGGGAAAACATATCAGGGTCCGACTTGGTTCATCATGTGTCGTGGCATACATCTCTCTATGTCTTTCACCTGAGGTCAAATGTGACTGAAGCTCACGTTGACTTTTGATTCAGGTGTTCTGCAACACCTTATACTGTATGTGGTTTTTGAATGCATTTACTCTGATTTAAATTCTTTTCACGTCAGCTGTCATTATCTATTCAGTGACAGCATGTAAAATATACTGGTGGTTTACTGTAAAAGGGCACCAGTGTACAGAATTCTTTGTATGTGTACTTGATGTACCAGTAAATTTTAGGTCAAACTGTCATTGCTCATTCATAGAAATCTGCAGACGTAAGGGGATACATTCATTCATACATTCTCCCACTCACCTCCTCCGTTCTTATAGCAGAGGTAAGGGAAACGCCACACGTTGCCCAGGCCAATGATGGAGCCGGCAACTGACAGGATAAACTCCAACTTGTTGCTCCACTGGCCCCGGTCCTCCATCTTTTCCTCTGAGGTGGTCAGCAGGTCCTCGACTTTGCTGGTGCCATTGGAGACGCCTGCTTTGGCAGCGTCTCCTACAAATCAGACAGAGATTGCAAGAGGATTGCAGCAGGTAATAGAAGGTGGTTGGTGTTGGAAGTTGAATTAGAGATGAGTTCTGTTTTCAGCAGTCAAGATTAAGCAAGGCATCGAAGACACCAAACAGTTCCAGCTACATTAAGGAAAAACATTTTTGATAAACTAGAGATCTGTCAGAAAACACAAAAGACTAATTCTGAGCTTTGTATACATTAGAAACTATATCCATGTCACTTAAGTGAGAATTATCTGTTAACCTATAACATTATCAAATTAGTTAAATGACTACCGAACTTAAACTAATCGGAACTGCACTCAAAATGTTATGAAACTGAAATTGCTGCCATGTGTGGCTTACCTTTCATTGCCGTGTTGTGTATAAATCTTGTTACAAGACTGAAGCTCTGAAGATTTATCTGTTTCAAAGCTCAACTTTTAGTATTTAACCTGGGTAAGGCAAAGGGTGGGGGTTTGTAACGCTAAACTTAGGCCAGCCTCCACTTTTTTCCCTACGCCTTCCCCCTTCAGAGCAAGTACATCATCTACCATGACTACACTGTTAAAATAAGGTGCAACATAAGAATCCAGTAGCATGACACTGGGCGAGTCTATCAGTTTCAGTGGCAGTGGACCAATCAGAATAGAGGAGCTGTATAACAATATGTGCTTTCTGTAGAATAAACTGTATTAATGCTTATGTCTGACAAAGAAATACCTATTGGTGGTTAGACTACATTTTAAGTCATACACATTCCACTCAGTTCATCAGGCACAGGAGGGAACACTACAAAGAGCAGGTGGTGAGGATGTATCAGCAGGAGATACAATAAAAGGGCAGATGTGTAGTTAATTATGTATCATTACAGTTTGTTTGGTTGACACCTTACCAACCTTACCCATCTTCAATGGTAGAGATGACTTAATCAAATGGAAGCTACAGCAGGTGGTCAGTTCACTCAGATGTGACTTACTGTAGCTGAGTAACCCCAAGCCCACACTCATAATCCCACTCTTCTTTCTTTTGCAAATCGTCATATACCTGCCACAAAATTGTGCTTAGGTATTCATGTATAAATGCTATAAAACCTTTGTAACTGATGCTGAAAGATTCAAACAAAGGAACAAAAAAGGAAAATGACTTAATAAATTAAAGTAAAATGTAAAAGTAAGGTAAACCTGTTAAATAGATTTTGTGTCAGAAGAGATTTCTGCTTATACTCTAACTAAAGGGAAAACTACATGTCACATACAAGTGTTCAAACCAGAACTCCACAACATTCAACCACATCTTTCCTCTAATAGAGCTAATGTGGCGTTTTACCTGGAATTCAAAATCATTCAGCCTCTCAATAACATAGACGTATGGCAGTGTTGAGCCCCTGAGAATGACTTGGTTAACTACATAACTTATAATGACACTGCATAAACACAAAATTTATAAAAGAAAAACTCAAACAAGGAAATTAACAAGGAAAAAACATGACAATGATCAAATATTTGACTATGAATAGTTTAATAAAGAGTCAAGAAAAAAGCCACAATCCATTTATTTCACTGTTTAAAAGCTATGTACATTATAAATAATTATGCTACATTACAACCATCTGCTTATCCTAGTCTGGAGTCATATGTACTGAGATGTTAGTACATGAAGAACTAGGCAGGAGGATCAGGACATCCAGTAAAACACAACTGGGAACATGTTTGGTTTTTTTAAACAGTGGGTTTAAAGTGGGTGTTTATTTGACTTTAAGTGTACCAATTGCAGAGAAAGACAAGGATCAGAAAGTAGCTGGCAGATGTTTCTATAATGTATGAGGACTAAATCTTGTCTGTGAACCAACAACCTTTTCAGATCTTGGAGAGAGAACGTCATTGCTGGAGCCACACAGTGAAAGCAAGACTCTTCTCAACTGTCTTTCAGATGTAAGTTGTCTTTTTACTTGTGCTCTATAAATCTAGAAACACCCCTGGTTTGTCTCTCCTCTGCCAGAACTCATTCCCCACTAGACGCTGTATAGTCTTGCACGTTGAACCACCCAGGCTGAACACTGGGTTTTGTGTTATGCTCACTGTGTGAGGTACAGTATTCCAACTCAGTCCTAGGCAGGTTTTTAGTGCTAACTACCCTGCTGAGGCTCTTGCTGTTGCTGATGTGAAGTTGCTGGATTTAGGTGAGAAGTGGAAGACGAGTGAGGCCACGAGGCTGCAGCAGAGGACGAGGGCAGACTCTCTGCACTGCCGCTGATTGCTGACGTCGCCAGCAAAACAATAGTCTCCTTGGCTACCTCCCCCATGGTCATCCCTCTGCCTCCCCCGCATGCCCCAGCAGCCTTCCGCGAGCAGTCCACACAGATGTAGTCTTCGTTTTCTGCCATTTCACATGACACACCAACACATACCTGGTGGAACCACTCGTCACAGCCGCCATCGCACTGCACCCAGTCCACCTGGAAATACACAGGGAGACAAATGCAGCCATGTGAGTGAGAATTAAGATGGACAACAAGGAAACACTGTGATGACTATTGGGGAAAAAAAGGTGGCAGAAACCAAAACATAAAATTCCAGGAAAACATAACTGATGTGTAACAATTTGTCAAAGCTACAAGTCAGTTATTGTTTGATTGATCTAATTTTCAGGAATACAGTCAAAACACATAACTCATTGAAACTCAGACTTTTACATTGGTAGGTAAAGACATTTCATTATTTCAATCCTCACCTTATCTTTACAGGGTCTCTGGCAGTTCTTGGCTGCACACACAGCGTTCTCATCATTGGAGTCCTCAGCTCCAGACCAGTCATACTTGGAGGGAATATCAAGGATCTTTTTCTCCTTCCTCTTCTCCAGTCCCTCCCTGATGGCTTCTGCCTTTGCAGCAGCCTTCTCCTTCCTCTTCCTCTCCTTCTCCTCCTTAGCTAGCCGTTTGGCCAGCTGCTTCATCTCTCGGCTCTTGTCCAGGTTGAGTTTAAGTTTCTTCTTCTTGGGTTTTCCACCCAGGCCAAGCTCCAGGCCTACCCTTTTCAGTTCTTTGATTTTGGCCGGTCGCATTTCGCCCATTGCCGAGGCTCCACTAGCGCCAGCAGCACCCATTAGCAGGTGGTGGTGCTCGGCTCTTTCTAATTTCCGTTTCCTCTTCTTCTGTGAATCTTTAAGCTTGACCTTTAAAGGCCTCTCAATCAGACAGTCGTCAGACTGTAGAAAAAGGAAAGGTGAAATGAGAGTAACTACTTCAGTCTCCAATACTGTACATACTGCAGCCATGTTTCCTTTATTTGACCCGTATCCATTGCTCAACTTTTCACCAGAACCAAACCAACTAAACAGCTGATTCAAACTGAGGCCCAGCTGAGCAATCAGGTTGTGTAATAAATAACCTCCCTACCTCCATGACCTGGAGGAATCTCTCCTCAGAGGGAGGGTGTGTGGCCTGCAGGATCCTCCAGATGTGCTGGGTCTCATCCAGGGACACCTCCAACAGGTCTCCCAGCATCATCAGGTCCTCCAGCTGGGCCTTAGCCTGAGGGGACAGCTCAAGCACTGGTGGCTCCAGGCTTCGAGGAACCAGCGGGGTCTTCCTGGGCTGCTTTCTGGGTGTGCCTATGTCTGAAATGTAAATATTTTGAGTATGAAAGCACTTATTTCACCTGAAAACGGGAACACACAAACAAGATGTGGAATATCTGTTTTTTTGAGAGTGTAATTAAAGGTGAAAAAAATGAAAAAGGGATAGGCATGCAGAGTCAAAGTGACTTTAGTGACAGAGATAGCAAAAAAAATGTAATAAGTAAATGCGGCCTCACTTTGCACACACAACTTGGAGGCTGAGGAGTAGGCATGTTCGGTGCAGAAGGAGGGCGTGGCAGTAGGCCACATGTGACTGACCACCTCCTCTGATTTAACAGGAATCTCCTCATCACAGAACAGGTAGGGCTTCACTTCGCCTGGGTCCTGCAACAAAAGTGAAGAAAGACAGTGAGGAATTAGCTATAAAAGAAACACTGTTTGCCGATATGGGGTTTGAACAATGTCACTCAGTTGAAGTCAGTTCTCTGCTGCCTCACATACCTTCACATCATATCCGTAGGTCTCCCTGATGTCCTCATCTGAATCTGTCTCCTCGTCATCATAGTCCACAGACTGGCGAGGTGATGTAGCTCTGTTGAAAGCTGACTGCTGAAAAGTCTGGATGTGGCCCTGGGGAGGGGAAAACACAAGGATTCAAATATTCAGTGTCTCAGTTTAAAAAAATATATATTTAATGGACATCAGTCACCAACAAATGCATATATAAACACTGTCATCTGACACATGTAATTCTCACATTTTAGACTGTTAATCTAATCTTTTGGGCTATTTCATGTTTACATTCTAGTGCCCTCTTTTGGTACAGTCCATATTTACATCCAAATCCCCAGCAGAGGCAACAAGAACTACAATTCACTCAGGACTGATAGAGGCTGTATTGTACTGTATTAAAACTGAAATTATAACCTAACATCATGACTCATCTAAAGTACCTGCAAGTCAGGGTTGGCAGCAGCTTTCTGAAGCTCAGCAGTGATGATCTTCTCAGTTTTCTCCCTTGCAGCTTGCTCCACCATACGCTGACTCAGCACAGACAGCTTTGCAAGGGCTGAGGACAGCTCCTCAGTGGCCAGAGCCTGACGTGCTCGGTCCTGAAAGAACAGTTAGACCAATCTAAGGATGGGTAGCTTGTAGCCAACCATGGAAAGTAAGTGTTCACAATAATTATAATTACAATATTAGGCAGTTCACTAAGAAGCTATCATGAATAATTCTAAAATGCAATTTCTATGCATACCTGCCAGCTCATTGCCCTCTCTGTCAAACACTGGAGAGCCTCGCCCTCTGGCAGGCGCACTGGCAGCTTCTGCAGAGACACCAGCAACGAGAGAATGGTCTCTAATCTCGGTCTCCGTGACCGCTGACAAAGTGGACACAGGAATTTGGAGTCTTTGGTATTGCTCTGCCAACCCATGCCCAGTTTCTTTTGAGATCCCGTCTTCGGTAGAGGCACGCAGGCTCCGTGGAACCAGTCCTTACAAAGTTCACACTGCAACATGAAGCCGCTGGCCGTCTTCCGACACAGGCAGAACTTGACCTCCTCAATGCGGTCAGCCATGGCCATCTTGGCTAAATTGGCAGCACGGAGTGAGTGGATGGCTTCCACTTCCTTCTGCTCTTTGGCTTTGAAAGCTGCTACAACAGTCGAAGGGTCTCGCACCTCCTCAAAGCTCTCTTCCAGGTCGCTCAGGGTATCAGGGTCAAAGCCTCCCCTCTCCTTCTCCATGAGCTCCTTGACACGTTTCCTCTTGCTCTTGCTGCTGCCGTAAACCCCAATGTCCACACGAGGGCTGAGAACCTACAAGAAGAGGCACAAGGATTTTTTTTTTATTCTGCTTACATTAAGTTTCACCCAAATATGGTGATGCAGACAAAATTAGCTTATCTACAGTACGTATTTGTATTTAATTGTAATACTGTATGTAATCTCAACTATAGTGTAGACTTGTAGATGGTAGAGACAAGCATCAAATAAACCTTTCTGCAACAACCCACCTGCAGGAGTGTGTACGTGGAGTTCTTCTTGAGGAAGGTGCGTGCAGTCCTCTCCCTCCAGGCTTGGGCTGCAGCCACCTGAGACTCCACCTGGGCAAGTGGATCAAGTCGGACAGGGATAGAGCGACCCCTGGCCAGCAGGCTCTCCAGCTGCTCCAGGTAAGCATAGCTGCTGCCACTCTGGATGGCTTCCACCTTGGCGGTCCACTCCTTGGCCTTCTGCAGGGCCTCTCGAAGGGCCAACACATTGGGTAGGTACGCTGGGATGTTCCTAGCTTCCAACACAATGCTCTCCAAGGTCACCATGCTGTGTCGAGGCCTGGAGTTTTGGGAGGATGAACAGGCATGTTTACGTTTATGAGCATGACAATTTCTTGTCAGTGGCAGCAGCTGAGGTTTACATGTATTCTGCTGTTTTTATTACACATTGTGAACTGGTTTGTTGCTTGTGATTACATTTAGTATTTTGTCATTTTTACATTCTTCTTTATACTTAACACAGTAGTAGAAAAACATCATAGTGTAATCTTAGCAACTGTGTTCGTATGTACGTACAAAAGTGTGTGTATGACCTTACCTGGCCTGCAGGCAGGCACGAGCTTTATCCTCCCATCTCTCTGAGACGGTGAGGATCTCTTGCAGTTCGGCCATGGCTTTCTCCACAGCATGGTGGGGAGCCAGACCCACCCCAGAGTCTATCAGCCTCTTCATCAGCTCCAGAGTGACTCGGTGGGGCTCAGCCAGAGTGACATGCACCTGGTGTGCAACAAGGGCAGCACATTGCATGAGGCCACTGTTACACCAGCTCCTTCAAACCACACAAGCACATTTTTAAGAGCTCACCTCATCAAGCCAGCGGGCCTGCTGGAGTTCCTGCTTGAGTCGGGGCAGCTCAGGCAGTTCAACGTCCAGGCCACTGCCCAGGTCCAATAGTGCCTGCAGCTTGGAGGAATCTGGCATCTCATCTAACAGCGCCACCTGGGCTCGCTCGTGGAAGTCCTCCACATTCTCCAATAACTCCTGAAGAAAAGGGAGGTAAAAGACAGAGACTGAGAGCAAAAGCAAAGAGGGAAAAGTCAGGTAGATCAGTAGTTGTTCAATAGCATTGATGAAGGGAAAAGAAGGTTTATATGGGGGGAAAAGACAGAAGAGGATAAAATGAAGTAGGAACAGAGGGGACTAACTTTGACTTGTCGGGCCTGGCTAATGATGCAGGGCAGTCTGTAGAGCTGGTCCACGAAGGCCTTAAGCTCGTCCACTGTCAGTTTAGTACGATTACGACTGCTCTCAGAACGCAGACGGCTGCTGCAGACACACATGGAAAACCCCATCCGTTAAGAGTATTGATTTTCAAACAGAAAAAATGCTCAAGTGCTGGATTTTCTGTTCGATTAAATCAAGCTGTATATCCATGTTCACTGACCTGTGTCTCTGCTTTCGGCTGAGTAGCAGCTGGGCGACAGAAGAGCATGTCTCCGCCTCTTTGACCATCTCCCTAAGCTGACGAAACAGAGCATTCTCAGGATACTTCCTGTCCTCTGCATCTTCCAGTAAAACCTTGAGCTCGATAAGATCTGAGAGACACATAAAACATGACATGGTACAAAGATGATGCAACAAGAATGCATTTTGTATTTGTAGTAATAAAGTATGTAAAACCTTTCTTGTTCTTCTGGTCTGCAGCCAAGGCCTCGGTGACCCTCTTTGCCCATGTGTCATATGACTGTGCCCGTGCCTTGACACCATACAGCATGGATGGAAACTCCTCCAGGTCATAGCGATAACTGAAATATATCATGCAGATATGTACAGTATTTTATAATATACTTTATGTGGACAAGTAAATGTGGAGTAGGGTACGACTAGCCAAATGAATTACAAGAAAGACTTCATTACAGAAGTTCTTTCAGTAGATTTAATTGAACTGCCAAAAAAAAAAAAAAAACAAGAAATCTCACCGGAGACACTTGTTGCCAAGTGGGCAGTCGCAGAGATCTGCTGCATGGTGCAGACAGACCAGACGATCAGGGCTGCAAGAACAGGTCAGTGCAGACAGGAAACAGGTTGTCTTACACTTGTGGCACTGGCGCTCATCATCAGGGACCAGTTCAAAAACCTCCTGCTCTGAGGACAACACTCCCTGTAGGTAAGTAGCAAAAAGAAACAATGCATTTACATTTTACACACTTAAAAAAAAGGGACACAAGACAAACGCTAGTTAAGCACTAGTTACTAGTGGTGTGACAAGATCTCGTGATAAGATTTCGCGATATTGAAATGGGGCAATATTTTCCATCAAGTTGAAAAGCTGTCTCATGGTGCACAACAGAACCTGAGCAGCAGCCAGCATGACAGAGTGTGAGGGTGAAATTAGCACAGAAGAAGCCCCTTCCACTTTTGTATGTTCAATTTGCAAAAAGGACTTCAGTTGGAAAGCCACACACAGCTCAGGGTTTCCCATACACTTATTTATTTGTGGCAGGCCGCCACAATGTCAACACTGACTGCCACATATTGATTTAAAACACAAACACATGACATGACATGACAACACAACGCTATCAATCGCAGAGATCCAGCTCTTGTAATAAGTTATTAGCAAAGTAGTAAGGCTAGCTAAGCTAATGTTAGAATACTGCTGCTGCCGAGGTCAGTAGACTGTATATAGCATGTACTGTATGTATATGGACTGCTCTGCAAGTGGATAGTTAATGCTAGTTCATAAACTCTGACACTGAATGTTTGGCCCCCCAGTCCAGGGGAATATCAAAAATCACAGGTTTGAAAGCTGATCAGTGTGATCAGCGACCCAGCTGATTCATTTCAAATATTTACTGGTTCCAACTAATGCTGCTGAAGCAGCAAGAGAGGGTCAGGAAAAGAGAGCTGAAGAGAGAGCTGGTGCAGAAGGGACAGATCAGATGAACAGCACTACAGTATTACTATTTTTAATAAAAATAAATAAATACAATTATGAAAGCATGATAGATTCATTCTGTGAGAAACACTGTAGCTTCATCTAGATGCTCATTCACAGTCATAAGGTCTGAAGAGACTCGTGTGAAATCGTACAGGAGAGAAGCCAGTCAGTTGAGTTTGTGGCCAAACCTTTTACAGTGCTTACATTTTGTTCTGTCTTTTACTGAATATGACCATTTACCCTCAGAAAGTAGAACTGAAGTGACATTCATTACAAGTTGATTAGTTAAAACATTTCAAAATGCACCTGCATTGTTTTGCATTTTGTGACTTTCAGTCATATAAAAGACTAATTTTCCAGTCATATATTTCATCACTGAAGATTTTTTAAAGAGAGTGTTAAAATATTATCTCGCCTTGTTCTCATCATCCCAGTATTGTGTATCGTCTCGTCAGCTAAGTGTACTGTCACAGCCCTACTACTTATATTAAGCTACAGGTTCAAAAGCAGAACACACTGAATAAAAAAAAAGACTACACTAAGTAATAAAACAAACAAACAAATAAACAGATCCTCTAACCATTTCTTCAACAGCTTTTCTGAGTTTTGTCTCCTCCTCCATCATATAGCCCAGTTCCTTGAATACAGCAGCAGCCAGTTCCACATCAAGGCTCTCTGGATCAGCAGCCATCTTGCACAGCAGCTCCTCGTGGGAGAACACACAGTAGCGGTGCAGCCGTCGGTAATGGGCCACACATTGACGACCCATAGGTAACTGAGGAAGAGCATGTGTAAAGATAAACACCCCCCCAACAAACTTTTTCATGGAATAAGAACTGGCTTTTCCCTCACCCAGTCAGCTGTGCAGAAATTAACAGCCTCTGCAAAGTTGTAGCCCTGGTTGAAGCCGCTGTGGTAGGCCCTGGGGAAGGTTACCACAAACTCCCCTGCACACTGATTGGTCCTGTACACCTGAGGGGAAAATATACATGCGTGATTAATAATCAGCTTGGAACACATGACCAATATCTGATCAGATCTGATCAATTATCAGCACCAGGCCTAGGCTACATACAGGGACACCATGCTCCATGAGGACATTGGGATTCATGATGGTGACCAGTTGATGGAGGAGATCAGGCTGGGAGTCAAACAGCTCTGGAGCCAGCTTCTTCATTACGGCCTCCAGCTGCTCTGCTGCAGAGGCTGGGACTCCATACCAAGTCTTTGGCTCACCCCTGGAGGACACAGCAACAGGACAGAATAATGTATATGAACATTAAAGGTATTGGCCAAGATGTTCTCGTCCACAGTGATACACAAGTATAATAGGATAGTTTCCATCAGCATGAATATTTCAGGGGTTTTACATCTTTAATTATCAGTTCTACTTTGAGTGTGACACGGTCTTGTGTGCCCTTTGTGAAGTCTTACCAGTGCAGAAAGTTGATGGAGTAACTCCAGTGGTCCTCGATGTGCCAGCAGAATGAGGAGAAACACATGCCCACATAAAGCCAAGGTACCTTCATGCCCGAGATGTCCACATTGATGTGAGTGAGCACCGACTGTTCCAGCACTGGCATGTTGTTCAGGTTCCAGCCTGAGTTGGCATACTCCTGATGAGAGAGGAAACAAAGTGCTTTGTTTCACTTTAGGGTAAACGGCATGCCTTTACTCGTGCTGGGTATTGAACTTTAATACTTTTATGGCATTGATCCAATTACTTCAATACCATGGTGTATTGAAAAATGTCAAATATCAAAACATGCTTTTTTATATTTTATTTATTGATGCTAATGTTAAGAGAACTTAAGGTTGTGGTAAATAGGTCTACTTTTTATTTTACTGCTTTGAGAGCAAAAAAATGCCAAGGAATTGCAAAATAAAACTAATGATCTGTACCAAAATGTGTAATGTATGTATCTCTTTTTGTTAAAATTAACTGTAGAAAATTGGTATCGAAAAGAGTATCATTTAAGAACTGGCATCGAAGTCAAGGTATCGGTATTAAAGATTTACAAATGATACCCAGCGCTAGTCTTTACTTAAATTAAGTCCATTAAGTATGAGACAAAAACCTTTTAGATCTGTTACATGGAATAAAATGACCCAGACCATGCCTCTACGATAGTGAGGAACCAGTTATTGACCTCTGGAAGGACATCTAGGAAAATAAAATCTCTGAAACTATTTTCTCACCTCTTCATCTCCCAGGAGCCTCCTTTTGCCATCCCTGACAGGAAAACCACTGCCCACCTCCTTGGAGCTGATGTCTGCTCCATACTCTACAATGACATCCTCTTCAATGCTGCTGACCAGGCGCCAGAACTCCTTCTCCACCAGCTCTGTGGGGACCATCTGTGGGTACAATGTGAAACTAATGAAACTTCCTGTCTTATCTTTTCACACCAGAAGCCCATGAACACGTTAAACTCAAACTGTTAAAACAGACTGTGGGACTAACAAATGACAGGAGGACATCCATGAAACAATTTACATATTCTAGCTTAGAATTCTGATTTTGCATACGTGTACAGGCATGTTGAAATAGTCGGACTTGAAGTGGTCGGCCATCTCTCCAAAGCCCTGGAGAGTGTATTCCCTCACAGCCTGCTCAAAGCCAAACGCTTCCCTGGGCTTACTGCACTCCTGTGTGGAAAAATGAGCAACAAATTCATTAAAGCAGGAATTTACATATCAATTATGCATAAAAATGGATAATTATATAAAAGTGGAAAAGGTAAGAAAATTACTACTACCATCAAATAAAAATTCTCAAAATGATTTTTGCCTTGAGAACCAAAAATGCTCAACACATTTCAAAGCCGAGGATTTGGATTTGCCCTCCAGCATTCAAGCATTACCTCAGCAACACACTTTGGGCAGCGCCAGTCCCCCTTTGGCACATCCTGTAGAGGCGGGATCAGACAGAAGGTGTGGTAGCTGTCGTCACAGCCGTCGCATAGCAGGAGCCGGTCCTCCTCATCGCCACGACCACACACCAGGCAGAGATAGAGGTCGATCTCAGGGATCGGCAATGCAGATGATACAGGGATGATCATGTCAGTTACCCAAAATACAGTAAGCATCATCCAATGAGCAAATGAACTGGTACTCACAAAGTTGACCTCCAGGGTCTCCTTGCGTGGTCTCATTTTGATGGCGAAGGCCTGAGCTTTGAGGTGACGCTGCTTCTTGCTGAACCCATCATCTGAGATAAAAAGGAACAGCGCACATGTGAGAAAAGAGACACCCAGAGTAACAGTTGACTTTAGTGTCTGTTGTGTATGGAAAATACAGTTCCTTACCAGCTGACACAATCTCCAGCCCCACCATCTTGGGACTTGTGCTGAAGATTTTGAGGCTTTTTGGGTCCTTGTTTTCTCTCTAGAGAAGAACAGCAGCAACCACAGCAGCAGAAGACTGTGAAAAAGAGCTAAAAGGCCAAATGTTCTTTGGCTGCTGGAGAATGATGCTAAAACCAGATGAGTCAATATTAAAATGACTCGCAACAGTAATGTTGTCAAAGATTATGCCCAACAAAGTATGTAAGTAGAGAAAAGTGAAAGATTACTAACATCTTATTACTTTTGAGGTTAGCTCAGGATAAAAATGAACATTTTTGCAGTGTGAACTAACCTCCTAGTCTATCTCACCATTACCATTTTGGTTTTTTTCTTGTTACCTCAGACTTAAGGCGCCTGGAGCGCCTCTCAGGCAGAAGCCGTTCTCTGGTTTGCGTTGCATCACCCTCTCCATCTTTATCCTTCTCCTTCTCCTCCTCCTCATCATCTTGCTCCTCCTCCTCCTCCTCCACCACCTCTTTGCCAACTCCTTCATCAACTTCCTCTCCATCATCTCCCTCATCATAGAGTCTCTGGATGCCCTGATTGGAGAAGGAAGTGGAGATGAAAGCAAATTAGGTTTTGGACAGGTTTAAAAAATGTATTGGTTCCAGGCATTATGATTTTATATATATCCCAAAGCTAAATACAACATGTTTAACTTGGTTAGGCCAAGTCTGATTAGTGTGCTGCAGTATAAAGCAGTCCACAGCTGAAATCTGAGAGTAACACACAACAGACAAATCTAATTTATCTTAACGGAGAAGAAAATGCAAAGTAACCAGAAGAAGAGTGATTTTAATATCAACAACCTCTCACATACTGTTAATATCCATTTGCTCCAACTTTTCAGAGTTGCTCATTTGATATCGACTGCAGTTAAGTACAATTTCTGCAGCAACTGACAAATTATTACTGTGTGAAGCTACTACAGGAAGTCTAGAAAACCCACTTACAGTTAGTGTGGCTCCAGACTGAAAGAGCTCATAGGGGTACAGGATCCTCTCATAGTGGGAGCGCAGCAGTGAACCAGTGCCTTTCCCAGGTGGGAAGCCCATTCGGCTGGCCACCTTAGACCACCTCTTCTCTTTACACACCATCTCAAAGCCACCCTCAGACGACACAATCTAAAACACACGGGTGTCTAATTGAAGTACTTAACAGTATGACTGGCACAAACAACACTTAAAAGGTAAGGAAAATACATTATTAGCAATGAATTAAATTGGATCAACAACTACATGCAGTGTGCAGCAGCAGTCAACTAGAGCATCAACACACAATTTTCTAGTATCAGTTAATATGATAAAACAAATCTTAGAAACCATCAAAATTGTTTTTTTGAAGTGTGCCTTCATTTATCCACTTATATCAATGTTATATATTTAGTCTAAAAACAAACAGCACAAAAGTAAAGATTAAAAGGTGGAGATGCACCGATTGATCGGCAGAAATCGGAAATGACCGGTTTTCAGTGTGATCATCCTTGACCAGTGACTGGACGATCACTCTGAGATTTTTGATTCTGTGCTGATCAGATGTAGAGGCAGTCCACATCGCACATGCAGCAGGACAGAGCAAAAGTGTAGCATCTGCAGAACATAACATCTCTCTTGCACCTCGAGTGAGACTTGCACTTGTGTCTGTACCGAGTGCGTGCTCACTTGTGAATCAGAAGCACTTGGTGTACAAACAGTGCACAGAGGAGTCTACAGAAGGGGAAACTATGTCCAAACCGCAGACAAACTGTACACAATGAGGAATTTACTGGCTACACATGAAATCCATGTATATGTACAGTGGATCCAACCCATGGTTGAACTGTGTGCTCAGTAGTAAGACATTCTTATCTTATCATTCTTATATTACACAGCCTTATGCTGGTGTACTGTTTGCACATTGAGAGCTGATGTACCAGAGTCAAATTCCTCGTGTGTCCAACAGACCTGGCCAATAAAGCTGATTCTGATTCTTCTGCTTCCATTACCTGTTGCGCCTGTTTATATTTGGAGAAGTATAAATATCAGTGTTTCCCACAGAAATAGTAGTAGTTTGATATTCACCTGGACTAAGGGGGGCAAACATTCAGCATCAGTTTATAAACTAGCATTAACTTTATCCAATTGCAAAGCAGTCCATATACATCCATGCTATATATAGCGTGCTAATCTCGGCAACAGCTGTATTCTAACATTATCTTAGCTAGCCTTACTAGCTTGCTAATAGCATATTAGAAGAGCTGGATCTCAGAATTGACAGTAGCCTACTAAAAAAAAAAGTTTTTTCCACTGAGTGGAGGAGCTGATCACCGATGGTCTGTCATCATGGTTGTCATGTGTTTGTGTGTGTGAGAGAGAGAAACAGAGCGTCGCACAGAGGGACTGAGTGAACACATGTGCTACGAATGACAATGTATTGAAATAAGATTTATTATTTTAAATTAATGTGGCGCTCATTGTAAACATTGTTTAGCCACAAATAAGTTAATGTATGGGAAACACTGAATACGGCACTTCATTTTTAGTTGGAGGTTTGAAAAACCACGTGAGAGAAAGAAAAAAAGATTAAAACTTTAATACAGTGTTTTATTTTTACTACAAGTAAATTTTTCATCAAAGAAAAGTTACAAAAATGTCTGTGTATGCTGTCAATTACAGTTCTTAAAAAGAAAGAAAATCAGAATCGGCAGGGCAGACTTAAAAATAAAAAATAAAAATCGGAATCGACAAGAAAAATGCAATCGGTGCACTCTAATAAAAAGCTATCCAAATTGATCTTTTGTTACCTTACTGAGCTGATAAAGGTCCAGGATCTTTCTCTCCACATGAGGGAATCGAATCTTGGATCCCTGCAGCTCCCAGAACTTTGCGATTTGATCCAGAAAGTTGAGCTTAATCCGAGTTAGTGCCTGTCAGGCAGGAGGGAGAATGGAGAGGACAGACTAAGTGAAGCTACCTTGACACCTCAGACAAACCTAAGTTTGAATGGCTGCACTGTGACACATGGCCATACTTCTCTGGTTATATGAAAACCTTATAATTACACTATTCGAGCTGTCCTGCTGCTTTACACACATTAAACAACAAAACTGAATATCATGAATTCCAACCTTAACAAGTGCGCATCAGAAAACAGTGTAGGTAGAAACAGACTACACACCCTGCTGCTACTGACGGCACACTTAGAGCAGCATACAGTAGGAGGACTGTTTCTTTCCATCAAATTGAATGCAGGTAGAATCATTTCCAAAATATGTGTGTTGTTTTTTTCCTGAGACACAGCTGTACTCATTAGGGGACCAATCACCAAAGGTGTTTGTACCCTATTGTTTTAATTCAGGTTTTTGTTATTATTATGATTATACCACCACTAAAAGCAGTTACAGAGACTAAACCGTACATGATGCAAAGATCCTATTTTAAAGGAAGGAAGCAGGGTGCATGAAGAAGAGCCCCACAAAAAATGAACCAGGTCCACCATAAGGGGCCTCTATAATAAATGCGGAGGCATTTTCATTAGTAAATTATTAATCGCAATCAACACATTCAAAAACTTTATATCTATGTGCTCCCCATAATGAATTGCATCTGCTGGTATAGGCCAGGCCCATTTTTGCATATGAGAATTTTTCACACATTGGAAAAATTTGAAATTTCAACTTTTTGTATTTGTCTGTGGTTTTTTTTAAACTCAGGATAAACATGGTGTCAGAACATTCTCTGGAACCTCGTTGTCAATAATTATCATGAACATGTCTGATTTTATACACAGTTCACTAGTCCTTGAGAATCACTGATCAGACACTTAAATCCATCCACAATAATTAGCCCACAATATAACTTTCCACTGTTAACTAGAGTGTTCATAGTTCAGTTCTGTGGATCACACAGAACTGAAAATGAGCTGTCTTCCGTGCTGCACAACCTGGTCTCTCCGTTGTCTACCTTACTACAGCTGTAAAAGGCGTTTTATGTGTTTTAACAACATTTCACTTATGACTTATTGATCCAAGAACTTGGAATCTTACTGAAATCTTGGCAGTATCTGTCATCGTAATTCGCAAACTGTATATGTGTAAGAACTGTCAAATATCTGAGAGTACTTGTTTATGAAAAATTGTAAACACCTCTACCATGAACAGCAAACCACTAGGGTTGGATGACTCTGGGAGCAAACCACAATAGGAGATTTGTCAAATGAGTGGAGAAATGGGATCGTGTGCTAAGCACTGTTGGTCAATGTGCTTGGCTTTGTGATTGTCTTGAGTCAGTGGTGCTCTGGGTCCAACTTGCACCTCTGTAGTCACTACTGTTATGTTTGGCATGTGGCATGTTCTTGGCAAACTCACCTCAAGTTCATTCAGTCTTTGTACTCGAGGAGTGAAGCGAAAGTTGCGCACATCGCAGGCAAAAGGAGGCTGCCAGTCCTGACAGATAAGAAATCAGAAAGGTTCAATCTTTCCAAACGAATCACTAAACAGGAAATGATAGGGCTTCTCAAAGAAAAAGGAGCACGGGCAGAGCTTATTTATTGATGTTAAGTTATAGCTCAATGTCGCTACTCACACATTTTGAAAAGTGCAATTTGCATTTGTATACAGAAAAACTGTGCATAAATACTTCCTGATGGAACCCATTAATTTTAATATGTAATACTGTCTATTCTGAAAGTGCATGGATACTTTGCTGTTGTACTTATCTATATAAAATATTGCAAACATAACATAAATATAGGTTTATGTTCTGACAGGAGCAATGATGTTGCCCAATGTCGCATCTTCCCTGCTATCTTGGTACAATGTACTGTAGCTAGCCACCAGGGAAACAAAACAAGGAATCAGGATTCTGTTTATTCTGCCTTTTATAAACTTTTGTGCAGAGCAATAGAACACCAGTGTCCCCCGAACTCAACTTATGTACAGTTGAGTACTAAAAACTGCCTTATTTGACCTTGGGATAATGTCGTTTCCTAATGCAAAATGCATGCAGGCCCAAAGCAAACCAGTGCTACTACCTACACAGGAGCATAAGATATAAATCCTGGCAGACTTGAGTCCAATGTCTAATATAATGTATTGGTTTACCTCAGGAGGTCTGATCTTGCAGATACCCATTTTCTCTGCAATTGGTCGTATCTTGTTGATAAATCCCAAAGGATCCGAGAAATCCTCCCAACTCGGCTCAAAAACCGGACATTCGGGAGGGGGGACAAACTCTGCAAACGCAGACATGATGAGGTGGGCCTTTAAAATGATATTAGATAAAAGCACCGAGTTCAACAGTTCGTTGTTTTCAACAACTTTCTTCTCAGAGAACTTTCTGCGAGTCCACAGTGATCGTTCAAATTTCCCAAAGAACAAATCACTTCAGTGACAGCTCATCCCAGATCAGAAACTGAATGAGTAGTAACAACAACCGTGCGGGGACCGATCAATCTCTTCCTATCATGTATAAACAGTAGGCCGGGCCGGAGAGTCTCCACTGCCCTACCTGGGAAGGAGGGCAGGGTCAGTCCGAAACGCCATCATTCCTTCTCACAGTTGACAGCTTCACAAAAACAACTCTGCAGTTCAGACTTCGTCTAGGGTTAATCACAGGATTTGAAAAGTTAGTCACAAAACAAAAAGCACCCCGGTTATACAGTGCTGGCTGTGATCTACGTTACGCAAGTATAACATTACACTGCTACGTCTGTGTAGCTAGGTAGTTCATAAATTCTTCATAATTATGCATTTTCAACAACCTTATCCACGTTTAGCAAGATTTTCGGACTAACGTTAGCTGGGTTAACGTAGTCACCCTTGCACGTCAGGCTTCTCCATTTCTTCGAGTACCCCAAAAGATAAATCCCAGCCAGACAACTACAACAAGGAGACTAGCGGTAACTTAGCGACCACACATTGCTGACTGATGTCTTTAGTTCGTGCATCAAACCCCATTCAATGATGCATTTAAGGCCATGAAAAACCAGTATGCAGTTCATTTGGTTGCCTAAAAACATCTTAGCTAACGCTTCCCGTTGCGCAGCTACCGTTGACGTTAGCTAAGAAAGTCGGCTGAGCAGGACAGTCCGCCATGACTTGAGTGGGTTAATCGGAATCACACAGGAAAAAAAAATCAGCAGTCCAATTGCTTCGATTTACTTGCTACAACTTTCCATTTCATTTAACACCGGTTGTAAATACTGTAGCCGCACTAAACAACATGATAGCTACGGTTAGCAAGGAAGGGTAAGCTGTTATAGTGCCTTGTTCAGCTTCTTCTTCTTCTTTTGCTTTTTTTGGCGTGGCGTCCAGGAATTCTTCTTCTTCTGTTGTTCAGTGGCGGTTGGCAAACAGCTTTAGATTCGTTACCGCCACCTTCTAGACTGGAGTGTGGATCAGAACGGCCACTACCTACTACTATATCAAAATAACCTCACTCAGTTCACATTATATTATCTAGCTTAACCCTGTACCCTCTAAAAATCTAAGAAGTACTCTGTGTCCTATATCCCCTGAGCTTTTTCCCAACACCTCTGGAATAATAAAGTTCATTCCACCACTTAAAACTATATTTTTAAATAACTCCCTCTCCTGATGATTCTTCATCAACTTCAATGTACTTTTCACATAGAGCCGACCCTTGCCATCTTTATCCCACAGTTCTTGCCATTTCTGTTTCAGTTTCCTTTTAATCAAACTCTTAACCTCAGCCTTACTATAGCTTACTTCCACACAAGCCTACCCTTGCCATCTTTATCCCACGGTTCTTGCCATTTCTCCTAAATTTTCCTTTTAATTAAACACCTAACCTTCAGCCTAACTATAACTTACTTCCACACACACCTCTTTTTTAAGCACAGTTTTTGCAAAGTCATCTGCTAGTTAATTTCCCTCTACCCCAATATGCGTGGAATCCAAACTAGCTAACATCTGTCCCGGCCATCTGACATGTGAATAGCATACAAGATATTTCAAGTATTATGTCCTGCCTCGAGTCTGACTGGATGTGTCGAATACTTAATAAAGAACTGCTGGAATCTGATCCAGTTAGGACTTTTAATGGTTTATGCTCTTCTACTCATTCTAATGCTAGTACAATATCTAGTAATTCTCCTGTGTATACTGCAAGATTATTACTGATCCATTTATTTGATTTCATTTTTAATTCTGGTATAATGAATGCTGATCTTTTTTTTTACCATTCTCTGTCTTAGATGCATCTGTATATATTTTAAGAAATCCTGTATATGTTCTGTCTATATACTGTATCCAGTTACCTCACTTTGTCTTACACTTTCCTTCTTCTCTCTGCTAAAAAGCTCAGATCTATATTTACTTCTGCAAACATCCATGGTGGGATCACAGATAAAGGAACAGCAGGATTTATCTTTTTGTCCTCCAAGCCTGCTTCACTAATCTTACCTTCTATCATCCATCCAAAACTCCTCTGTTGACCTTTCTGTTTTTCTTGACACATTTCCAGTACTCTTTGAGTGGGATGACCCCCTTTATGCCCTTTTAAGTTTGCCCAATAAGTTAGTGGGCATCCAGGAATTGTTGCATTAGCGCCCCCTTCTGTGCAACTGACAAGTGACCTTAGAGATGATTATGCATCTACTACAGTATGTTGGAGTATGGATCAAGCTGGACCTTATCTTCTATATTCTATCAATGAATCCTGGCCTTCTTAAGAAATCTAGTACAACTGTGCCTCCGGTTATGGTCTCCTGTACTTCCCTAATGCTTGTACTATTTATTTTCTTTGCAGACATTATCATTATCTCCTCTGTATATCTGCTACATTTAAATAAAACATGTTGCACTGTATCTGGCTGTTGACATTGATCTCAGTTGCCTGTTGGATATGGCGCCTTCTTCTTCTTCCTCAAAACTAGACTAGAAAGACCCCTTACTTATTGATAACTGGAGACCCATCACACTCCTTAACAATGACTATAAAATTATTGCCTCCATATTGGCAAACTGTTTAAAATCTGGTCTTAATGATATAATGAATCCCAGTGTGGATTCATAAGTGGTATATCTCCAAAAATATTTGTCTAGTCATTGATTTAGTCAACTACAAAGATCTTCTTGATAGCAAGCCCTTAATTGTATTCTTGGACTTTCAAAAGCCTTTGACAGTGTCCCACGGTTTTATTTGTGATGCCCTAAATTTTTTCAGGTTTGATAACTTTCTCATTAAAGCAATCAAAATTTTATATAATGTAACAACAGTTCTGTAAAACGGCCCTTTAGCACATCACCCAGATTTGACATTAAGAGAAGAATTTGCCAAGGCTGTCCCATCTCTCCTTACCTCTTTTTACTGTTAGGAGAAGTTCTTTATTTATTAATAACTCACCATTCTTTTAAAGGCATCACTCTTAATGATAGGCAGATAATATCACAGCTAGCTGATGACACTACTTTATTTCTAGAAAGTAAATCTGAAGTCTCTCCTGCTTTATCTTTTGTGAAAAAGTTTTCTAAAATATCTAGTCTCAACCTCAGTTTAAATAAGTGTGAGATTCTTGCTCTTAAAGACATTATAGAAACAGAGTTATATAACATCCCAGGAAAAGATGCAGTGAAACATTTAGGAATTATGATGGTAAGAAATCAATTACTGATAATTCAGTTATGAATGTTAATTAACATTAAATTATTGACAAAATTTTAAGACAGATTCATAAGCAAATACTTTAGATGAATTAGTCATTACTTCGTATACTGTAAAGGGAGTATTCTATCTTGGGAAATGAATCAATGTCAGCTAAATACTGTGCAATGGTCATAAGTGGCCAGTGTCACCAGTGTTTATGGATTATTTTACACAAAACTCAACACTTTCTCAAAGAGCCAGAGTATACTGGTTCCTAAAATGTCTCATTAGAGTAACATCTGAAGTTACAGTATAAGGAAGTAGCTGCCTATAACTGCAGGTTGTTATTACCGTATATGTCCATGGGTTAGCATATCGTGGCCTTCAAACAGTTTGAACACAGGTCCTCAGGCCCCCACACATGTCTCTAACACTCTGAGAACCCAATCCTCCTCTCAATACTTTTCAGTCTTTATTTTGGTTATAGGACTTCAAAATTCAATTAAACCTCACCAGTTGTGACCCCATGCCTTTAAGGGTCCCACACACCTTGTAACACCCTGACAGCACAACTGTCTTTCTCAATACTTTTCATTCTACTTTTGACACTGGCCTTTATCAGTACATTGACATGTACATTGACATGCCTGAATGATGCACATTCAGTGAGTCTACAATATCTGAATCAACCCTGTTCTGTCAGTGTTTCCTAGCACTCTGCAGTTCCACTAATAAACCCCTCTGCTATCCACTCACAAAGCCTAACTAGTCTTCTGGAGGCCAGCTAACCCTGTTTGTTAGTGTTTGCTTGCCCACAAAGAAAACACAAACAGCTGTAATATTGATTAGCCCCTCTACACTTCTCCTTTTCATTTCTTGTACCTTCAGTTTGATTAGATCTGTCAACTGTTTTAGACTGCAAATGGAAGGATTTGGGGAACCACTGATTTTGAGTGCTTACATATTGAGTTTACTTGACATTCACTTTTTCCTTTTTTAATGATACAAACAACAGTTTTTTACATCAATCTTTAACATGTATTTTCTTGTTTCATTTCTTGAAAAGAAACACTGAAAGGTACCCCCCCAAAAATAAGTTAGAGTTGCACAAGGAAACATTAAAAAATATTTCTTTTTGACTTCATAAGTTATCTTTTTATTATACAGTAAAAAATGTACATGTCACATTAACAAATAAAGAGGTTGAGGGTAGCACAACGGTCACTTAAAATGATTCTCCATTGGGCTTCAAATGTCCTCTTTGCTATAGAAAAGATCTTCAAGCTCTTGTCATTTTCAGCAAACCTTATAGTCTACAGTAGAAAAAAACCCAACTGCAGCGGTTACTTTCACAATACAGCAACTTCATAAAAGAAAACCTACACAATGGGCTTAAGGGATAATGTCAGCTTTCAAGTTTAAGTGCTTCCCACACACACTAATCCATTCCATGAATTTACAAATATATCAGAACTAATAAACCACCACAGAGTCCCTGTGTTTAGAAAACCACTCTAAAACCACTTTAACTACACGACTGTTGAACCTGAGTCAATGAACAGCAGCTGGGTGACAAAGAGGATGAGAATATATTCGTAATATTCATAATATATTCATTCTTTGACATTCATCTAAGAGAAAATGGCTTAATGACAAGCAGAAGGATGAACATTCAACACATTCTCAATTCACACTTTATCTTAAATGCTCCTAGTTCAAAACATTCACTCTCTATGTGGAATAAAGTCTGATTGTTCGTTCTCTTGAACTGGAGTGCATAAAACAAAGCTTAGGTGGCAGCAGGATAATTGTGACACAAAACTACTGTAAAACGGGACATTCAGTTCATGATTAAATAGAGAGCGAGTTCAAAAACTTGGTAACTGTCAAACAGCTTACTTGATGGAAGAACAGATGCAACTCAAGAGGTACGATAGCACATCCCAATAAAATGCATTGCAATACATCATTTCCAAATTAAATAGTTCCTTGACTGAACGCACAGGAAGAAAAATGCACCCTGTGAACTTCAGGTAAATGCAAATAGCTGCTGCTTGGAGGAATGCAGATAATAATTGTCAGCAGCCAGCAAAAAAAGTCCAAGCTACAATGATAAACAGACAAACAAACGCAATATAACATGTTGATGGTGAGCTTTAGAGGCTAAATGTCTGAGATGCGAAATAAAAAAATCAACCTAATAAATATATGCATACTTTCTGCACATATACAAACAAATAACATTACCACAAACTCTTTTATACATTACATAAATGCAAATTCAGTCCATATATAAAAGAAACAGCACTGCAAACTATTGCACAGTAGCTCATAAACTCAGGCCTACAATATGGAACTGCATGCACTGACACAGTAAATCAAGCATCTAAAGCTTATGAAACATACAAAACATGTTAAAGCAAAACATAGCTTTCCATTTTTTTCTCCCTCAAAGTTTTCTTCAGCTGGACTTAGTATTTTATGACTTTTTACGAATTACATTTATGAACTGAATTTAAGTTTCACTGCTGCTGGGAATATTTACATCTTCATCACGGCTCCTTGGTGAGTGATGTAGGTCAGCCTTTAATCTAACACCGAGTCTCAAGAGGTTGTTTTTCATATTTGGGGAATTTAGTTAAGTTTGAAAAATTATTCTTGACACACAGTGTTTAGAAATATCTCAGCATTTGGGAAATTAGTTTATTTGCCAAGCGTTAGATGAGACAATAGACACAATTCTTTTATCTGTATTAAATATGAAGCTCAGGCATGGACTTATTTAAAGAAAAAAAAATGCCTATGGTTACTAGCTAACATACCCACAGAACAACCTGAGTATAAGAAGAATTCTTATCAGCCTTGCTACTATGAGGAGGAAACTTCAGCTCTTCATCTCTTTGCTTCTGTGTCCACATTGTCAGTTCTGTTATCTGTTCAGGAAATTGGAAGCAGTTCTTCGGCAAAAGAATCCTTCAAAGCCCCATGTGGCAAAATGGAAAACACAACCGATTTGTCAGCCCGGTCCACGGTCACAAGATGGAGTATTTTTTTTTTTATATATAAAACAAGTTTAGTATAAGGGAAGAAGAAGGAACTAAAAGAGGGTATAAACAGGAAGAGCCAAGTACTGTACAGTGTGAGAGGTGCAGAAAATGAAAGAAAGAAAGAAAGAAAGAAAGACAGAGGTCTTTTTCTCTTTGGAAAAGAATATTGTAGCTTTCACATCTCTTCTGAAGTTCAGGAACAGTCGCCTCCACTGTCTTACGGAACTCTTGTCACTTTCAACATTCAATGTTTCACTTTTAGTAGGCCAAATTATTATGACACCAATTACATTAAATCATTATGTGTTAAAGAGGTTATTTTTGTTTGTTTTTTATTTTTGAGGTTTTAAAAAATAAACTAACAAAGCAATGCTGACTTTAGTTCCGGTGAGGAGTAAATGTTGTATCTGATCAATCCTGAATTCCTACAAAAAAATGAAGCACCAACAAATTTTTGTGTTCCACCTGGCATGGGAAAATACAAATGTGCAAACTTCACTGAAGAAAATGAAAAGGTATACTCTATTCAGGGCTCATCAGTCCTGTTGATTTGAGAGCCTACATGCCCTTCAGGTCCTTGAACAACAGCACCTATGTCAGGCTCCTTACGGTTGACGATTCCCGTACATCAGTGGTATGATGAAGACCGAGATGTCGTCTCCGGAGCCCAGACGCTCGTTGGTGATCCTCCAGCCTCTGTCCCTCAGCACGCCACGAGCTCGCATCACCAGGTCTTGTGCAGCCATTGTATACCTGGACAACAGGTATACGAGCCATTGTAGCTCATTTTATGCTGTATGAACCATGATGCCACTTGAATATTTAAATGCACTCTTGAAATGTACAGTATGGAGCCATCCCTTGTAAGCTAGTGGGTTCAAATCAGGGTTGCGTCAGGAAGGGCATCTGGCGTAAAACACGTGCCAAATGTCAACATGTGAGTCGTCAGTGTGATGATTCGCTGTGGCGACCCCTAAACGGGAAAAGCTGAAAGTGACTTTCTTACTCTTGAAATGTGCAGTACAGACTGATGGGGTTGTAGTGTGATTTAATATTCTACCACTTGACTAAAATTTTTGCCTCAAAAGAGCATGTCGATTTTACATGGTGAGTGGATACTTGACCCTCTCTGCATTGGTGTGCCAAAATGCTTAAATAAAAAGTGTGAAGATACAGAAAGCAAATGATAATGGGCCAAGGTTGTATTTATCCCTCAACCAGAAACTGTGCCTGTTGAATAAATTATGCAGCGCAGTCTACCGTATGCACAGTTTGGTGTAAAAACACAAAGAAAGCACATCTGCCATGACAAACTTTGAGTGGCGAAATTCTAATGGAAGAAAAAAATAAATAGTCTCCCACCTGTGCAGGTCATCAGGGTCACAGTTGGTGAGGAAAGTAGTGACTGCCTCGGCTACTTCCTGGTTAGAAAGGACATCCCAGAGTCCATCTGTTCCCATTACCAGAACATCATCAGCTCCATGTTCATACTGCATGAGGTTATACACCTTCACCTGTAAGCCAGAAACACAAAACACAAGGAGAGACTCTTTTATTAAGCTACAGTATCTGGCAGCATTTGATGTTATTACTTTGGTTGTGTATTCACTGCTGAAATTCAGAAACAGTATTCCCTTTGTGCCACAATCTTTAATAACCATAAAACATTACTGAAAACTGTATATAAAGAATAAAAAATAATAATACGTGCACACTGTGGGATCACATCACTTTACTCCTGAAGACACAAATCAGCTAATTTATTTATTTTAATGACAAGGACAAAGCTCACTGACACACAAAACAAACACAAAATGATCCACAATTAGCCAAGAGTTTTCATCGTCACCCTAAAAACAGATGTTATCAAATTCATGTACACTACATGATAAATGTGCACCAAAACAATACAATACACATCCAGCAATAAGTAATTAAGATTCTGTTGTTGAACTCAAGTGTATTTTTCTATTGCTCCTTTTTATTTTTTGATATAAGGTGGAATTTTATACTATATTTACTCAAGCTTGTCAACTATGCTGGAATCTACAGTATACTGACCCAGCATTTTCACAACTTAATGGATTTAGCACAGCTTTCAGTCACTCAGAGCATCTCAAGGAACCAGAGATTACGTTAACTGGTTATTGTCTGCCACTGAACCTCCATCATTTTGCACGATACAAAAACAGAGGGCAATTTATCTTAGCTTGATGATAAATTCTGATGGAATTTTTATGACCGACATCATCATCAAAATGACGGACAATGAAAAAGTCTAGTGTGGCTTCTACAAAGAACCAAATGTTGGTGAGAGGTGAAAGTTGTCTTTGTGGGACAAAGCAAGATACGCACACAGACACACTGAAAAGAGTTAAATCTTCCAAGTGAACCTGATATGAACCTGGGTATTAATGAATTAAAGAAGAAGCAGAGAGTTCTGGGAGGAAAAATGCAAAACTAAAACTCTCTAAGACATACTACATCAGAAGATGAAAGCGCTGTGAAGAAAGTGCCAGACAGTCCGACAGGTGAACTCAAGTCCTCCTGAAGCAAAGAACCTTGTTCAAAGAAGCAGCAAAATGCTACCTCTAATAACTGTGGTGAAGCTATGACAGATGTGGAAGAAGGGTAAGTTATATGTTTTATATAGGTCAGAAATCATGAGACAAAGCAAAGAAAACTACATGAGTATAATTTAGTTATAAATGAAATTATACTGGCCACAGGAAACGCCCCCAGTTTGGGGGTTGATGGGTCATCAAAAAAGTGACCTCTTTGCTGGGATAGCTCTTACCTCAGGGCAACAGGAAAGGAACGGCTTGATGTAGATGTTGGAGTCATGAACTTTGAGGTCATGGTCACCGAACCCACGTGTGACACCGATGGTAGCCAGTACCCGTGCCTGTGAAACACAGACTGGTTTATTTTAGGCTTCCTTCACATTTTTCATTTTTACAAATCATTTATTTTGTTTTGTGTTTCATCATGTGCTACATAAGTGGGTGGTGGAGCTGGTGCTAACTTCTCACTCCACATTGTGTAGGGGAGATTTCATCTGCTGACATACTAAGCTATTAAAGGTATGGTTGGCGTTTGCTTTCAGAAGCATTTTTTGTTACATTTCTTGAATTTATTTTTCACCACGATGGCAATGAATAAATTAAAAGCACTGACAACACAAAGAAAAACATTCTGTGGCAGCAGCAGGGCTGAAAAAAGCCAATGCAATAATGTGACTCGGTCAAAGCAAAGCCATTGAAAGGGCTACTTGTCTGTCAACCTACTTCCTTCTTGTGCACACTCTGCCCATGCACTCAATGCACAAGACAAGAGTCTCCCACAAGGCGTTGCAGTTGCAGGCATACATGTTACCACTCTGTTTTACAGCTAAAGCTAGCGAGCTATGGCAGAGAAGGTACCCACAGCAGCTTTTGGTTACTAACGGGAAGACCATATTTGAGAAAGTTACAATTAAAAAAAAGTTGGATGCTGTAAGAAGTAAAACCAGAATTAACATTGGTATGGCTTTTGAATGGTGGCGACAACTGAGAGAAGAAAAGGGGCTGAAAATCAAATCAAATTTTATTTGTATCGCGCCAAATCACAACAAAAGTCATCTCAGGACACTTGACAGTAAGGTTAGTGATGTGTAATGGTGGCATATAGATGCATAGGGAGAGAGAGGAGAAGGGAGGAGATGGGAAGGGAGAAACTCAAAGTATCATTGGAATAAATGTCTGTCAGAGAGACCACAGAACTCATTGGCTGCACAATTATGTGACAGGGCATTGAAACCCATCAAAATTAAATCAACATCAAAATCTTTTTCCACATTATTCCACTCTTTCATCAAAATTAACTGAAAATATGAAACAAACTGAAGACCTGAAGCATTTTGTGCATTTTATTTGGCAGTGTGTTTTTGGTTTTGGCCTCTTTTTCTAATCTCAAGTCTTCTGTTCCAGTGGGGATTAACTTCACTTCTTAGAGAGACAATTGTCATCTCCCGAGTGATGTGTGTCTGTCTAAATGTCTGTGTGTGTGATCCAAGTAGCTACTGATGTGAAATAGAGGGCCGATCTGCTCTCGTCTAGTCAGGATGTACACTGACACACACACATGCACACAGTGTGATACTCACACATCGGAGATCAAGTGTTCGTCCATTCTCTGGGCAGCTGCCAGCTATGTAGTGTGTGTGTGTGTGTGTGTGTGAGATTGACTGTGTTAGAGTAAATTATTTACTTTTTCCTCTGCCGTTCTGAATTTCAGAGTTAATGTACAGCGCTTGAAGTAGACACACACACCCTTACCTTTTTCCCTTCACCGTATATTAGTGGAAACTTGAGATCTTCATCTTCAATGGTCTTATAAGCCCTGTATTTGAGGAGAGAAACATAAAGCAGACCAAAAGTGAATTAATATCTTCTCTTTCTGACACACTCTCACACATAAATATTATAATCACACTTTGAAAAAGAGGCACATGTAGGCACAAATGTAGTGAAAAGAGAAGAGGAAACCTTGGAGATCTATTTAATTATGTCTTTAACTATGGTACTTTAAGTGTTTTTCCTGTGTCACATTGGCTCTGTGAGACAATGCATGACCCATGATGTTATGCTGGGAAGCACAGAGTGTACTATTCATTAGGTTCCGACAGTGGAAATGCACCTTGTGTGTGCCAGTTAAAGCACATCTCATTACAGGCTTCCACTGTAGCCACAGTCAAACAGCATGGTGCCTTGCTAACCCCCATAGCCCTGAACATACAGGACTATTTTTGCTGTCTCATTGTATCACATAAGGTTAGCCTGCTCCCTCATTAGCTCTCTATAGTCTCTTCAGCACTCATTGTATAGAAGAGTGTGAGCAGCAGTAAAAGAAGATGACACATGAGAGAAGCAAAAATACACACCACAGTACAAATTCCCTTTTCTCGGACTATTGTTTCATGTAAGGCAGATGCAGTCCACCTTGCAATCCTAGAACAGTAGCAGTTTTTCATTTCACATCATAACTTGACAAGTATGATTCATGGTAAGGCAGATAATTTGGGGATGCAGAAGTTTTATCTGCTGAGTGAAAAGTGTGTCTAAAAAAAAAGAAAAGGAAAAACACATGGGAACAATTACCATCCATTCATGGTGAAGTCTCGGCAGAGCATCCTCTTGCCCACCTCCTTCTTTTGTACTCTCCGGGGAAATTCCAAGTGTGTGAATTCATTTCCTAACAGGTGAGGCTGCATGAAACCCTGGAGGACAGCCAGTGATAGTCCTCATGTTAATCAAGCAGCTAAATGTGTTGCAGATTTGCAGATAAAATGAAAGTCATTTTCCATCACAATGAATTTTGTTTTTGTCCTTTGTCACTTCACCCTCGAGCCCAACTCATACAGGAATTTTGAGTATGATATTGGAGAATGAAAAAATTCAATTAACAATATATCAGTCGTTATTCACAGTTTTAAAAACGTGGACACATAACATTCTGGGTGAGCATTCACAAAGGTTATTCTTATATTTGTCAAGGCTGCTGTGACTGACATGCAAATTAGTTGTGACAGCTTTCATTGACAACTGAAGGGTGGAGTTGGTGTCAGTACAATCACTGACATGAGGCACCTTGGTAACACACACTGAGGAGGACTGAGCCTGAAATGTACATGTTTGAGGTGGACAGTTTTTTAATAATTTAATATAAAAAATGTTAAAGGAATTTCTCACCCTGTGTTTGACTTCACTGCAGTTTTGTGCATCCTAAAGGAATTTAAATTTGGTAGAACTATAACCAGAAATCTACTCAGTGGGACCTTTTCATTTAAAAATAAGGCTGTTATTGCTATAGACTCAATAACAAGAATTGAAAATGTTACTTAAGTGAAAGTTTTTATATAGTGTATAATTAGGAAAATGGCCCATGTGACTGTTATACTGCTAAATAAATGGACTATTATTACTCATGCATTAATGTGTAAGCAGAATGTTATTGCTGTAGTTGGTTGAGGTAGAGCGTCATACAACAAACCTCACATGAAAATGTCTTGATGTCAAGCAGCACTGTATTTTCAATAGAAGACACAAACACTGCTTGTATTTCTATGTAAAAATGAAAGACAGAGTTTTCTTACCAGGAACTGGAGTCGCTGCCGTTCTGACTCTGGTGTGAACTCTGTTGACATTGGAATGATTTCATTGTTTCTAATAATGATAGCCCTACAGATACACACAAAAACGTCAGAAGAAGTCATAAACATGCAGCTTTATATTCAAAAGAAAAAGCAGCTGTATTAGTTGCAGCTGTCTCTGCCCCAGCATCTTTGGCTCCCTGGTGTCTGCTGTAGTGTAATTTTCCATGCATCATTCACAATCCCTTTCATTTAGAAGCACAAGTACACACACCTGCTGTCACCCGCATTCCCAACGTATAGTTTTCCTAGCAGATAAACCACTGTGAGAGCTGTACATCCTCCTGAGATGTTATAAACTTGTTTCTCCCTCTCAATCTGGGCATCCTGGGAAAGGGAGTGACAGATAATCATTAATAAAACATCACTTAAGAGGACAACAGACAAAAAGCTAAAATATATCCCACATCCACCCACATGTGACAGAAAAAATGAAGAAATGTTGATAAAGTCAAAATCCACTGTCAGCAGCCCACACTGGCAGAAAGAGAGCCTAATTAACAGTCCGGGCTTTTTTCCTATTCAGTAACACACAAACATTCATAAATAGGACTACAAGGGTCATAAGAAAAAGGAAGAGCAAAATAGTCAAACTCAGTTCAACTTTTTAGAAGGCATTGTGATGAACTGCTGGTTAGTTTAACCTGAACCCCTTGTTCACCACATGTCAGTAAACAAAACCTTGAAGTGCATGAATAATGTGTGAGCAGTGACATATGAGAAGATTTATATCTTGACTTAGCATCATCAGGTTCCAGCAGCTTTGTACAGTGGCAAGAAAAAGTTTGTGAACCTTTTGGAATTTCATGGGTTTCTGCATTAATTTGTCATAAAATATGATCTGATCTTCATCTAAGTTGAGTACTGACAAATATCAAGATCAAGATGCCGCTCCTCAGTGTGCGATTTCGCAGTTCACTCGGAGTCAGGCTGTTTCTCTTTTGCTTATTTGTGCTGTGTTAAAGCAACAGTAAAGACCAGAAACGTTATTTATGACCAGGCGACTTTGTTATTACTAAGAGAGCGCAGTCTTTTTGGAGATTTTGACCCGAGCACATTGGACTCTCACCCAGAGCTAACATGCTATGTCAACACGATGCCAGGCCGACCCCCGGCAGAGAGATCTTCCGATAACAACAAACCGAAGTGGAGACGAGGGAGACAGGGGGAGTCAAACGGAGGCTCCAGGACTTGGTTAGCTGTGACAGGCTAGCCCTCCCCGCTATACTGTTCGCAAATGTCCAGTCTCTGGATAATAAATTGGATGAACTCCACACTCAGATTACCTGGCAGAAGGACATAAGGACTGCTCCCTGCTGTGTTTTTGTGAAACATGGCTGGGAAAAGAGACTCCCGATGAGGGTATAACTCTGGATGGTTACTCTGTGTTCACACAGGGTCGCAGCGCTGCTGAAATCGGCGAGACCCGTGGAGGAGGAATGGCCGCCTTTGTCAAACAGTCCTGGTGCACAGACTGAAAGATTCTCTCCAAATTCTGTTCTGAAGATGTGGAGTATTTAACATTAAAGCTAAGGCCATTTTATTTACCTAGGGAGCTGCAATGTATCATTGTGAGTGTAGTGTACTTTCCTACTAGAGGAAACAAAACACTGGACCAATGTTACAGTAACATTAGAAACGCTTTCTCAGCTTTACCTAAGCCTCATTTTGGTAGATCTGACCACCCAGCAATCTGGCTAAAACCTGCTTACACCAAACGACTCAAGGTGAAACCAGTCTCAGTGAGAACTGTTAACATCTGGAACGACTGTGCACAGGCCAGCCTGCAGGACTGTCTAGAGGCCACAGACTGGAGCATCTTCAAAGGGGCCACAGAACCAAAAACCCTGGTTTAATAGGGATATAAAACAGAAAATCAGGAAGAGATGAAAGGCTTTTAAGTCAGGGGACCAAGTGGAGTACAGGAAAGCCTGGTATGAGCTACAGAGGTCCATCAGGGTTGCAAAGAGAGCATACTTCTAAAAACTGGAGAGCTACTATATGTTTTGGGTGGCGCTGCCTGTTTGGTGCTTTTATTTTTTGTGGTTGGCTTCCTGTTTCTTTCAGTTCACATGCCCCAGCTTTACCCCAGCTCATCAGCGTTTACTGCTTACAGCTGCTACTCGTTATCTCCCGGTCCTGCTCCATATTTATACACCCTGTTTCCCACTGTTTGCTTGTTGGATCATTAATGTTCACACGCCCTGAGTTCGCTCCTTGATGTTCCTGTGTTCATGCTGGATTACCGCTCTCTGGTTGTGCTGGGCTTTGGTTAATTTCATGTTTGCTTTATCCACTCTGGACTCTCAATTTATTATCTGTTCGTCGCCTGGCACTTAGCTGAGTTTTTTTCTTTTCCTGATCCTTGTTGGATCATTAATGTTCACACGCCCTGAGTTCGCTCCTTGATGTTCCTGTGTTCATGCTGGATTACCGCTCTCTGGTTGTGCTGGGCTTTGGTTAATTTCATGTTTGCTTTATCCACTCTGGACTCTCAATTTATTATCTGTTCGTCGCCTGGCACTTAGCTGAGTTTTTTTCTTTTCCTGATCGTCTCGCTACGAGCAGCGCCTGAATACTGTTGGTTCGCCTTCTGTTATTTTCCACCAATCTGAACCCTTGACTCTTTGAATGTCTGGTGTGCTGTGAGCGTGGCATCTGCCTGTTATCTGCCGTAATGCCGAAATTCCAACAAGCTTCTCCAGTGTGCTCAACTCCTGACCTCCTTCGAGGTGTGCCAGTGTGTTGTGAGTAACCTGCTTGCCCGTTGTGCTGTGGAGCGAGTGCTCCAATGCTGTGATTAGTCTACTCTACCGGCACCCTGGTCCTCTGGTCCTCCTGGTTACTGCTGCTCGTCTGTCTACTCACCTGTCATCCTGGTCTTCTGGTCCTCCTGGTTACTGCTGCTCGTCTGTCTACTCACCTGTCATCCTGGTCCTCTGGTCCTCCTGGTTACTGCTGCTCACCTGTCATCCTGGTCCTCTGGTCCTCCTGGTTACTGCTGCTCGTCTGTCTACTCACCTGTCATCCTGGTCCTCTGGTCTTCCTGGTTACTGCTGCTCACCTGTCTACTCACCTGTCATCCTGATCTTCCGGTTCCTGTGTCCTTCCTGCTGCCAGCTCACCTGCCCGTCCTCCTGGTTCCTCGCCTTACCTGTCCTCGGTCATCCTATGCTTGTCCTGGTTGCCCGGAGCTTGCTTGTCTGCCTGCCACCCTGAATACCTGTGTTTTGTTGATTAAAACTGCTTTCTTTGGTTCCCACTCCTCTGGTCTCTGTGTCTGCCTCTGGGGTCCGCCCTCACGAACCGTAACAATAACAACACGCGCAGTATGTGGCAAGGAATCCAGGCAGTCGCAAACTACAGGAACAAATCAACAAACACAGTCCCCCAGGATGCCACCCTCCCGGACAGCCTCAACAACGTCTAAGCGAGATTTGACAGGTTGAACACAGACACCCCCGTCAAAACCCCCCTGCGGTTCAGGTAATGCACACACAGGTCCTGAAGGCCCTGAAACAGGTAAACCCCCATAAGGTGGCGGGACCACACGGTGTCTCTCCCTAGAGTGTTGAGAGCCTGTGGGGATCAACTAGCTAGTGTGTATACAGACATCTTCAACCTGTCTTTAACCCAAGCAATAGTTCCTCACAGTTTCATAAAAGTCCATTATCATGCCGGTCCCTAAGACATCAGACACATCCACTCTGAATGACTTCAGGCCAGTGGCGCTCACATCAGTCGCCATGAAGTGCTTAGAGAAACTGGTCCTCGCATACGTTAACCACATGGTCCCGGACACTGTAGACCCCCTCCCGTTTGCCCCAACAGATCAGTGGACAATGCGACGGCTCTGGCTTTATTCCATACCCTGAAACACCTGGACAACAGCAGTACATATGCTAGGATGCTCTTCCTGGATTACAGTTCTGCATTCAACACCATTTGCCCGGGAAGATGACAGACTTCGGTGTACCAACTCCCACTTGTAACTAGATTCTGGACTTCCTGACTGAAAGACCACAGGTGGTCAAAGTGGAAGGGCGGCTGTCTGCTGAGCTCACAATCAGCACAGGCTCACTGCAGGGTTGCTGGCTCAGCCCCAAACTCTTCACCCTGCACACTCATGACTGTGTCTCCTACCAGGATGACACCATCATCATTAAATATGATGATGCGTGTAACGTGTAACACAACTTAGAAATGTAGTGTCGGAAGTATTGATATATGCTCTTAGATGTAGTGGCAAAAAGGTCTAAGTAGGCATAATTAAAACTACTTAAGTAAAGTACAGCCAACTGAAAAATGTACTTAACAGTAACAGTGCATTGTCAACAGTGTCAATTGCCTGAGACAAATCAACAAATAAAGCTGCACAACTCTGTGCCTTATCCAGTGGAGAAATAATATCATTCATCATCTTCAAAACAGCAGTATGGGTACTGTGCTGCTTCAAAACCTGACTGGTATTAATATAGTGACCCCCTCAGTGGTCGTGGTTAGGATTCAAGTTATGAGAAACATCTTGATGGGGAAACAGATTTCAACAAAACACCAGCAGAAGGAGGTGCGCACGTTCATGAACTATCCTCTCATTTTCAGGAGGATGCTCTCAGGTTTTATTGTTCTGAAATAATTACAGATCGCTGTCGTAAAAGGACGGAAAACATATTCAGAGACCCACGCCACCCAGCTCACTTCCTGCTCAGACACAAAAACTGCACCTACAGCCTCAGGCACAGCAGGGCGGACAGTATCATCACACACAGAACTAGACTTTACAAAAGCTTTTTCCCTGCTGCAGTAAGACTGATGGCAAATACAAAAATGTGAGAAATGTGAGAATATATGTCGGAGAATATACCAGTTAGAGCTGCTATCTATCTATGCTCTGCGCCGAACCCTGCACTCCGCTGAGCACTTGTCCTTAGTTGTTCCGCGGGCCTGATCCAAAAAATGGGGCGACCGCTCATTTGCTGTCTATGGTCCTAGACTCTGGAAATCATTACCGCCTGAGTTTCGGTCTATGACCGAGCTAGCAGTTTTTAAGTCTACTTTAAAAACTCATCTTTTTAAACAGGCTTTTGGTGCTTAATCCATTTTATCTGCCCCAAAGGGACATGGTTTAACTTGTTGTTTTATACTATTTTATTTTGATGAAACTTTTTATTGCTAGGATCTTATAAACCTGTGTTTTTGGACTGATTGTTTTTAGTATTTTTTTAGTTGACACATATGTTCCATTGTGCAGCACTTTGTGCTCTTCGGAGTTGTAAAGTGCTATATAAATAAAGTTTATTATTATTATTATTATAATATCTCCTCCTTCACTGCGACATTTGACCTTGTGTGTGTGTGTGTGTGTGTGTGTGTGTATTTGATGTTTGGCCAATTTCCAGCCTGTAAAACTGGCAACTGCAGTGTTTTCTTTGTGCCTGTCAGCACACACTCTCCTGTGATTTTTTAAGACTAAGTGTTCTTTCTGACTTTTGACTCCTTACCTGACTCCAAAGTAGAGCTGCACAAGAATTCCTATATGCCTAGACCGTCTGTTTATGCATACATGGCAAATAAAAATCTTGACTTGACTTATAGAAATGAGCACCTATATACAACATGTCTTATAATCCTTCAGTACACTAAGAACACACAAACACAAAGTGTCTGCAGGATGTAAGGCTGTTAACACCATGCATCTTCATTTAGAATGACATGACAACGTCAGGCTTGTGTGTTACTAACTACAGGTGCATGAAACAAACCAACCGATCTTTACAGAGTCAGGATGTTCAGAAGGAATTTTAGCCCATTCTTCCTGGCAGAACTGCTTTAGCTCCGTCATATTCTTTGGAGGTCTCCTGTGTACATAGGGCTTTCTTCAAGTCATTCCATAGCATCTCTACTGGGTTGAGGTCTGGGCTCTGACATGGCCACTCCAAACGGCGGATTTAGTTTTTCTGGAGCCATTCTGTTGTGGACTTGCTCTGGTGTTCTGGGTCATTGTCCTGTTGCATCACCCAACTTCTACAGAGTTTCAGCTGATGAAGAATTTTTTGATACACTTTGGAATTCATCTTCCCCTCAATGATTGCAAGCTGGCCAGGCCCTGATGCAGCAAAGCAGGCCCAAATCATGATGTTTGCTCCACCATACTTTACGGTTTGGATGATGTTTTAATGATGATATGCAGTGCCCTTTTTTACGCCAGATGTAGTGCTGCGTGTTCTTTCCAAATATTTAAATCTTAGTTTCATCAGTCCACAAAACATTTTTCCAATACCGCTGTGGAGTGTCAATATGCTCTTTCACAAACTTCAGCCATGCAGCAATGTTAATTTTAGTAAGCAGCAGCTTCCTTCGTAGTGTCCTGCCATAGTCACCCTGCTTGTTCAATGTTGTACGTACTCTAGACTCATGAACATAAATGTCATCCAGTTCCAATGATGCCTTCAAATCTTTGGCTGTCACTCAAGGTTGTTTCTTTACCTCAGTGATGACTCTTTGTTGTGCTCTTGGGGTAATTTTTACTGGGTGCCCACTTCTTGGTAGAGTAACCACAGTCCCAAAGTGTCTCCATTTGTAGATCATTTACCTAACTGTAGACTGGTGAATTTTTAAAGTCTTTGAAATCATTTTATAACCCTTTTCATCTTTATGTAAATCAACAATTCTTGATCATAGATCTTCTGAAAGTTCTTTTTGGCAAGGCATGGCTCACATAAACATATTATTATTGTATGGAGCAAACTCAATAGGTTTCAGTGGTTTTTATCAGTCAAAGTAGCTCTAGTCCACACCTCCAAACTCATTTTCTTAACAAGACTCCAAGTATGCTAACACCTGACTCCAATTAGCTTTTTTGAGGTCATTAACTCAAGGGTTCACATACTTTTTCCACTAACACTATGAGGTTTTTATGGTTGTTCTCAATAAAGAAAGATGAATTCAGATCTTTCTCATGAAAGATCAGAATTTTTTGTGTTTTTATATTAGGCACATTATATTTGTCAGTGCTCTTGACTTTGATGAAGATCAGATCACATTTTATTACAAATTAATGCAGCTGTCTTTACTGTGGCTCTGCCTATTTACACTACGTTCAAGCTGTACATTTTTTCTGTACATTTGAAATACAGCTTTATGTTTTTGTTACATGCATTTTCAGTCTACTACCTACTTTTCTCTGACTTGGAAATAACCAAGTGAATTTTTGAACTTTTGCAGGCCTGTGCAGAAACCCTGCAGACACAGCTATCTGTTGAATAGCATTGTCTTGAAGGATAGTGGAGGCCACAGCTTTAAATGATGCAGAGATCATTTCTACAAAGGTTGTCTAATCAAGTGTAAGAGTGCTTCTTTTACTGTGTCAAGGAAAAGGATGGCAGGGGGTTGGAAAGAGCTTTAGAGTGACTTTTGTAGTCTGAGTTTCACAGGGTCAAGCTTGGACAGATTCCCATTGCCATCTAGTGGTAGTACTGCATAGGCTATGGCTTACAGCAGCATCTCTGCTCAAAGCAACATGAAAGTAACATCCAATACAAAATAGGGATGAAGGAAAGCAATAAAACATAACTTAGTTAATGTTGTAAAGTCTGTTCTCTCTCTGAGCATTTTGGATACATTTTGTAAGATGCCAAAGCACATTTTTGTAGCTGTTTTCTATATGCCAGTCACTCAAAAGATAATCCTAACAATTACAGGTACAAGAAAAAGTAATGGCACCATTTGCAGTTTCCTGGTTTTCTGCATGAATTGGACATGAAATGTAAACTGATCTTCACCCAAGTCACAAATGTCAGCACACACAATATTTCAAAGCTGATAAAACACAAACAGTCATGCTCTTTCATGCCTTTATTCAACATACCTATTAAACATACAAAGTGATGGTGGAAAAAGTAATGGAAACAGTGATTTAATAACCAGTTGAAAAATCTTTGGCAGCAATAACCTCAAGCAAGTGCTTCATGTTCAGGAGAAATTTTGGACCATTCTTCCTTATAGAACTGCTTCAGCTCAGCCATATTCTTAGGACGTCTGGTCATTCCACAGCATCTCTATTGGGGTTCTGACTGGGCCACACCAAAAGGTGGATTTTGTAGTAGATTTACTTCGGGTCATTGTCCTGCTGCATCAATCAGCTTCCTTTAAGCTTCAGCTTGTGGACAGCCACCCTGACATTATCCTGTAGAATATGTTGATAAACTTGGGAATTCATTTTCCCCTCCACAATAGCAAGCGGTCCAGAGGTCCAGAGGCAGCAAAGCAGCCCCACATCATGCTGCTCCCTCCACCATACACCCTGTTGGGATGTTTTCATGTTGTTACATGGTTCTACCTTTTAAGTTAGACATAGTGCTGTGTGTTTTTCCCAAACAATTCGACCTTACTTTCATCTGTGCACAAGACATGTTCCCAGTAGTGCTGTGGAGTGTCAAAGTGGACTTTGGCAAACTTCAGGCATGTTTAAATGTTATTTTTGGAGAGCAATGACTTCCTCTATGGTGTCCTGCCATGAATACCATGCCTGTTCAATATTTTGCATATGGTTGAGTCATGAACAGTGATGTTAACCAACTCCAATGAATGCTTCAAGAATGTAGCTGTTACTCTAGGGTTCTTTTTTCTGCTTTGTGCCTTTGGAGTGATCTTAGCTGGGCGCCCACTTCTATGGAAAGTAGCCACAGTGCCAAACCGTCTCCATTTATAGATATGTCTAACTGTGGACTGATGAATATCAACAGCCTTTGAGATGACTCTGTAACCTTTTCCAGCTACATGCAAATCAACAACTATTGATTGTAGGTCTTCTGAAGTCTCCTTTTTGCAAGGCCTGGCCCACATCAGCTGATGCTGTTTGTGAATAGCACACTGACACAGTTTGAGTGTTTTTATAAGTCAAGGTAGTTATAAACCACATCTCCATTCTTATTTCATTGATTGGACTTCAAATTTCCTAACATCTGACTTCAGTTGACATTTAGTGACATCAGAAGCCTTGTGCTGCCTTTTCACCATCATTTTGTATGTTTAATGGGTGTGTTCAATAAAGACATGAAAGATCATGACTGTCTGTGTTTTACCACCTTAGCAATATTGTGTTTGTTGGTATTTGTGACTTTGGTGAAGATCAGATCACATTTCATGACCAATTTATGCAGAAAACAAGGAAATTGCAAACAGTGCCATTTCTTTTTCTTGTGTTCAGTATCTTTAATAATCATCTTGAATTTGTTGAATCTAAACAAAATGTCAAAAAGCTGTTTCAAAGAGCCAAGGGTGACATGTTGAAATTTCTTGTTTTATCTGAGTTTAAACTCAAATTTTCACATTGATTTTTACATTTTTTACATTTTAAAATTACTTTGAAGATCATCAAAACTGCTGTCAAAATAGATTAACTGACTATGATTTCACCTCTAAATTTGCGTTGATTCATTGTCAATATACAGCTTTCATGTAGTTTGTGTCCCTGTATCCCATTTCAGTGAGTCACAGTGGACAATAGAAGACCCCGAAATGTGTTCATCTAATAGGAACGCAGCCATTTTTCAAAATCTCAAAATCGTATGTCATAAAATGTTAAATAATGATGCATGACAGGTTGACTGATCAGGATGACTGAATTCATCCTGACCTTGCACCTGTCTCTTGGTCTCTCACCATCTCTTTGAAGGCATTCTCTATGGCTCCTATCACCAGGCTTTCATGCTGAATCTTCTTCTCAGTGAAGAAGCGAGGAGGGGGTGGAGTGGTGCATGGGGAACCGGGCGCACCTGCAGCCCCGCGAAGTGAAGCAGCTCTGGTCAGGGCACGGTGAGGGCCTGGGGTGTCTCCCTGGAGATAGGGACATTTGTCGGGCTCCTCCCCCAGCACAGTGGGGGGCAGGCGGGCCAGGTTGCGTAAGATCTCAATAACAACCTGGAGCTGGCAGGCAATGTGGTGCTGTAGCATGCGGGAGGCTACAACTGCTGCGCCTGAGCCAGCGTGACCATCGAACAAGGCCCAGTAATGGAACACAAGTCCCTCGCTCTCCTGCAGACATGCACACAGAAAGTATATTAATCAGCACAAAAAACAAAGTAAATAAGCAGCAAAATCAGATATAACCACATTCAACCACACAATTATGACAAAAAGTATAAAGGGATTTAATTGTTTAGCTCCTGTTGTATATTAAATCAGGAAAAATGAATTTAATGTGAGACACTGCATGTGTGAACTGAAGGACATGTTTTATCTTTGTTTTCAGTACTCTATGTGTTGTTATATGTTCAGCCGGGATGGCATTCCAGACTTAAAGGAGCCAGCCATAAACTCTTTCCTGCCATATATTGTGAAGATGAATGGACAACATATTGTTTATCATCTGAGGGGTTATCAGGGCAAAGCCTCCTAAGTTCAATTTTCCTGTTTGAATCTTCTTCTCAACTTGATTAACGCCTGGAATGGATCTTTAGGGAGTTCCCCTTGTCCTATATATTGTGATGTTTAGACTAGCTTATTCAGACAACTCTGTATGCTCATGCTGACTTGTCTCCTTTGCTGCAAGTAAACCAACCTCTTATTGAAAGATTCCAGTGACTTTGTTGCTTCTTTGGAAATTCTCTTAACAGCTATAATAATTTGGGATAAGATATTAGCCCACACCAATGCGGTATCAGCACACTTCCATCTAAGCGCACACTCCGCCTTCGCAGTAGTAGAGTGTGTGTGTGTGTGCGTGCGTGCACATTGATGAGCTATCGCATCAAATAATGTGCTGCTGTATTGTTTTCAGTGTAATATAGAACATAGATGATTTACAAATCACTATTTTCAGTTTTAATTTTGATTTTACATACCATCCCAACCTTTTCTGATTTGGGGCTTTAAATACAATATGTACAGTATCTAAACTGTATACCCTGTGCGCATATAGCCTACTAATGCACTGACTTAAGAGTGCATTTGTGGTTGTGTATTTTCATACCTCTCCCAGCTTGCTGTGCACCATGCGGAGCCCCAGGCCCTCTCCATTGGGCAGGGAGCTTCTTCTCTTGGCGATAGGGGTCTTGCTGGGCGTGGAGGGAGGGCAATAACTCACTGGTCTCCTTCTAGCTACTACCACCTCGCAGCATGCCTGGTCCTCATTCAGTGCACTCTTACCAGCATTAATCACCCTGTAAGAGGAGGGACAGAATGTTGGGCAATATATATACACACTCAGGCTTTTAGGATTTTAATGCATGTCCACAGCCACCTGCCAACAGTCATTTTTCCATTTCAATTGTTGCTACAAGATGCACCATTGGCTGTAACTTCCCAGTCTGGCAGCTGTGGTCTGAAACAAGTGGTTAAATGAAACTACTGTAAACTACTGTATATGTAGCTATGTGTGTTCTGGGACAACATTTGTAGAGACTGCTTACAGCAGCTGGTCCTATATTCATGTACAGTGTTACATTGTATATCCTCCTTGTGATTACAGGAAGGGCATCTTAAAAATTGCCTTCCATGTTAAAGTCTTATGCTACTGAGTTCCAGAGCCAACGAGTGGCACTACATTGTCTGTGTTATCCACTATCCTTTCATAGTATAAAAACCATTATGTCCAGGGGGCTGATCTTCACTCTGATTATTCAGGTCTGCTTTTAAACCTAATGCGTTACCACTGTACCTCTGAGTTATTACAACCATAAAACACTATGACGCATCAACCACTTTACTGGTGCACAAAAGTCCAGGAAGCCTTTGTCTGCTTCATCAAATCCACTGTCAACACACACAGCAATATGATGACCTGTATATGTGTGGTTCAAATGTAATGCAGAGTTTACATTAGTGTGTGTGTGTGTGTGTGTGTGTGTGTGTGTGTGAGATAAAAAAAAAAAACATTTACATGGACTTTTGAACCCTGAATGTAAAGACTATCAACAACAGCAATTCTCATTCTTCATAACTACAGTGTACTTAACTTAATAATCCTGCTGTGTTTTCATGAAATGGTGCAGCTGGCACTATTTTGTGCATGTGATAGAGAGAATCTCATTTGTCCACATTTAATTATTTGGACAAAGAATGAAGAATATTTCCCTGACAATCAAATTGTTGTTTCATTCAGAACAATTAGATTTCCTCCCATTAGGAGCACAACCTCATTATCCCCTATATTTGGCAGACATATAACACCTCCTTGTTTCTCTGCCTTCGGCAGCAGATTCTGGGTCAGATATTGGCCCCAAGGATATAATAACTATTTAGTGAGGCACAATGGCTCAAATCTTTGCTTCTGTTTAACTTTAAACATGAAAGAACAACAAACACTCAATCAAAGAGTCCTAACTTAGTTCTTTTTCCCGAGGATTTGCTCAGGATTGCACTACCACCTGTATCAAAAAAAAAAGAAAATGCAACAGCAAAATGTGAGATTGAATGCAAATAAGATAGGATGGGTTGAAATAGCACATCCTCATCAATATGTAATTCTAATGCAATTTACTTATACAGTGATAAATGACCACTCAAAATTCTTGGCAATTATAAAACTGTGGATTGTTGATTATAGACAAAGACAGACAGAAGACAGACAAACGCTTGTAGCTGGCAACCATTCATTTTGCTAGTTGAAATACTGGCATATATCATATGAACCTATAGTAGCATAATAAGGTGAGTAAGTTAGTAAGGTGAGTTGGTTGAAAACTCTGTCCTAAGTTGACTTTTTAATGTTTCTTCTTGACTCTTTGAGAAGCCTGAAAAATGGTAAATAAAACTGATAGCTAAGCTACATGATACATGACTCAGGCTAAAGCTTCAGCTCCCAGGCAAAGTTTGCAGTGTGGTGCTTGAAAAATTGATGAAAAATAAAGGGATAATCAAAGTTATTGTTGCTGATCCTGAGGGGGAAATGAATAACTGTATGAAATGTTATGACAGTCCACCAACAGGCACCAATAAGACTCAACTTGCCCCATCCATATGTTCATCTTACCCCTACCTGGGGGCAAGTTGTTCCATAGGATCAACCTTTTGGATGGGCCATACTTTTAAAATTGTATTAGTATTGTATACATTTTAACTTCTGGGGATGTACAACAACCTTAAGCATATGTAGCAACTGTTGTTTGAAACAAATAGATATTCATTTTGCCATACAATCATGACATGTAAGAAGTGGCTCATTTTACCTTGTTCTCCCCTATCCAAAGCCTGACAGGCAAGCTAAGCTTTGACTGGGCAATCACAGTCTGGGAAACTGTTTAGTGGACAGTAAATTATGATCACTAAAACAAAACATGTAGAAATCTGATTTGTCTTGGATTTTTATTGTTAAAAAATTAGTATAATCAGTTCCTGCCTATTCTGCTGTTGTGGAGAGGTGAGAGCTAAAAGGGCTGCTGTAATGACAACATAGGAGGTTTTAATTACAGATAAATGCTGAGACGAGCTGAACTCATTTACCACACTGGTCCCAAAGAGACACGTCATGCCTGCTCTGAGAATCAGTGTGAAGTGAGTGTGTGTTAAAGAAAGAAAAGAGTTGAAAACACTGCAGACCAAACCAAAATTATAGAAGCAACACACATGGTCAAAATGGATCGCTGGCATTTTAGTGAAAGTAACTTGCTCCTTGCTGTACTCACATTATACATCTTGTACCATGCCCTTCTACTACAGAAGAGGTCTCTCTCTCTTTCTGGATCAGATTCTATGATGTTATATAACCATCCATCAGCATTGTACATTGTACATTGATTGTACTTTGTGGGGTGTTCCTGCCAGGTGGTTGTGTTTATTACTAAAGAGAATCACTTCATCCATTAAGGTCAAACCAGGAGCTCCCTGCTGCTTTCTGGCACCCCAGGCTACATCCATCAGTATCACTAAATCAACACAAGTACTGTACAGTACAGTAAACTGAACGTCCAGTTACAGTCATATATAGACTCCCACATCACACTGACAGGACATTCCTAAAGGAAAGGACCAGCATTCCCCTTTCAGAATAAGTTACCGGATTCTAATGCAGTTTTGCATACAATAAATTGGTAATATATTTTTTTTATATCAGCCTGGGGAATGATGTACTTACAAAGCAATTTATCATATTATACATAATCATCAAAGCTTTTAGAAAGGTGCTGAAACTTGACAAGAATTGTTACTTGTGAAATCAAAAAATCCACACTATGCTGGGATTTTCTAAGCTACTGTATATATCAGGTTTGTGAGGGAATGCATGTTCAAAGGTAAAACCACTGTGTGAAACATGTCATATTACATAAGCAAACATGGTTCACCATAATACCATGTCGATACTACAGAAACACCAATGGAAGGCATAAGCAGCAACAAACTCTTCACCTCATCTTAAAACTAGATAGCATGCTGTAGTATGGACTGATAAACCAGGATACTGTATGAGTTTGCATCTTTGTGAACTGGTGGCTGTTGACACAAATAGTGCACAGCTGTAGATACATCATCCTCTTGTATATGAAAACCAGCTTGGGCCCTATGACTGCTGCGATCCTCTGGATGAAGGCTGTCATCCATTTGTAATAGCCTTTTAAATTCGAAACAAAGATTGCATACAAATACAAGGATGCTAGTGGATCTAAAACCATGCTGGAGATGGATGTAGGTCACAGCAGGTGCAGCTTTGCTCCTAGTCTGTGTCTGTGTGCTAGCCGCATGTTTTCACCCTGAGGAGCAATTTCATGAAAATGTTGGGATGACCACATGCAAGGTCATAGAGTTTCACATGACTGATCGTGGATGCATTACTTTTAAAGGCCCCAACCGGAGCCGCTCTGAGAGCTTCTGCCGACGGGCTACTTACTCTGCGTATCCGGTGGCCCACGGTAACCTCCCGGTTTCCTTCAGGATGAGAATGGGCCGTGCTATGTGGTCAGCGGAGCACTCGATCTCATCCGGGGACAGTCCAAGGAACTCAGGTCTCATATATGGGAATTTCAGCGGCAGCTCGGAACAAGGGTTGCCCCCTCCGCCGGTGCTACCCCCAGTCATAATTCCACCCATGAATCCAGCTACGGCGGACTTGACCCGGGTGAGCATGTTGGTGGAGCGTCGCGGCGGGATGTCCGTCGGCCGCTGCGAGGCGCCGGCGCTCCCCCCCCCCCAGCTCGGCCTCGCTGGTCGACGACAGTCTCAGTGGAGAATAAGAGTCGGAGGAGTAGACGCTCAGATGGTTAAGGCTTCATTCATTCTGAGCGGAAACAGCCACAGCCGGAGGGCAGAGTGATGAGCACCACAATGCTTAGGTAGAAGCCCGCACATCCCCATGGAGATGGGTGATAACAACTCTGCTGTCGAGAACGCGGAAATACAGTGAAGATTAGCGAGTCACGTGATGCGTCCATGCGTGGACAATGCAAAAATTCATCCCACGGATCGTCTCCGGGCTCACATCTAGTAGTTATAAATAGAGACCATAATAATAAATACAAATATTAGCGTACTAGTCATATTTTGGACATGCATTCCTATTCTACGGGTGTTCTTTGTTTCTATTATTTTCGGCATTTTAGATTAATACTGAAAACATTATGAAATAACACATATGAAATTAGCCCTACACAAAACAGTGCAAACAAATGATGCTCAGAAAGAGAATATGTACAGGTATGTGCCAAAAAATTAGAATATCGAGGAAAAGTCCATTTATTTCAATAATTTGTTTCAAAAAGTGAAACTTGTATGTTATATTAGTTCACTACACACAAAGTGAAATATTTCAAGCCTTTATTTGTTTCAATTTTGATGATTATGGATTAAAGACAAAAAAAAACCCAAATCCAGTATTCCACAAAATTAGAATATTTCATGTGACCAATAAAAAAAGGATCTTAAACACATGTTGGCCTTCTGAAAAGTGTGTTAATGTACTGTATTATGTCCTCAGTACTTTGTTGGGCCTCCTTTTGCATTAATTACTGCATCCAGGCGGCGTGGCATGGAGGCGATCAGCCTTTGACACAGTTGAGGTGTTATGGTAGCCCAAGTTGCTTTGATATTGGCCTTCAGCTTGTCTGCATTTCGGGGTCTGTGTTCCCTCATCTTCCTCTTGACAATACCCCATAGATTTTCAATGGGGTTTAAGTCAGGTGAGTTTGCCGGCCAATCAAGTACAGTTATTCCATGGCTATTAAACCAGGTACTGGTAATTTTGGCTGTGTGGGCAGGTGCCAAATCCTGCTGGAAAATAAAATCTTCAGCTCCAAAAAGCTTGTCGGCAGCGGGAAGCATGAAGTGCTCTAAAATTTCCTGGTAGACAGCTGCGTTGACTGTGGACTTGATAAAAGACAATGGACCCACACCAGCAGATGACAGGGCTCCCCAAACCATCACTGACTGTGGAAACTTCACACTGGACTTTAAGCAGCTTGACTTTTGTGCCTCTCCGGTCTTCCTCCAGACTCTGGGACCTTGATTTCCAAATGAAATGCAGAATATGCTTTCATCTGAAAACAGGACTTGGGAC